TTTTACCCCATTGGCGGCGCACAGGGCTTTCGATCATCACTGCCCCAACCGGATTGATGACTCTTCCGCTCTCTGCCTGCGCTACTGCAGCTTTCAATGTTTCGAGTGTAAAATAGGGACACCCCTTTGCCAAGGGCATGAGGTTTATGTTACTGAGCCGCGTTACGCAATCGCCACTGTCATTGTAGAGATGACTTTGCTCCTGAACTATCGCACGCGGTTTGATGCCGCAGAGTTTCCGGATGGCAAGATGATTGGCGAGTGTACCCGTCGGCATAAAGACCGCTGCCTCCTTTTCCAACATTTCAGCGCATTTTTTCTCAAGCTGTTTGACATTCCCACCGAGGGAATAGGCATCCTCTTTAAGCGTAAATTTTTGGTCGAACTCAGCAAGTCGCTGTAGCATCGTCAAAGGCGTTTTCGGTTCTCCGTCCCCTCGAAAGATAACGGTGTTGCTCGGTGGAACATCCGGGATAAGAGTCGTATCTGATCGGAGCAATTGGGTAATATGGCGGTTCGTTGTCTGCATCAAAGTTGACCTCCTTCGTGTTGATTCTGTTCTCTTTAAGCAAGTTTTAGTATCGGGAGTGGAAACCCCGTCCCCAAGTATCGCGTGGAAACCCCGGCTGACACGAAATTCGCTTCTCTAAGCGTGAATTGAATAAGAAATAGGAGTGTGTTATAGAGAGCCCCTCTGATAGAGTGAGGTAACCTAAACCTTTACGAGACTTTACGGAATGAAAGCCCAATGCTTTAGCTTTGGGATGAAATTCCGCCCTATTGGAAAGGACCAAACGTCAAAAATAGATTTGACTTTCGGTCTAAAAAGTGGTATAATTAATAGTATCAAGTTGGCAGACATCTTCAGCACAGTCGCTTGACTGTGTGTCTGCCTACCCACTGAAGAGGGGTTAAAGACTTGATACTTGATAGTCCATGAGAAATACAAAAGACAAACTCTTTAGAGACAAGACATTGCGTCACTTGCACGACGACCTGAATATCTGTGGCGTTGTGCGAAATCACTTCATTGCTCTCTGCATGCGGTATTACCGCCGCTATGGAAACCAAGGACTGCCCTATGGGAAAATGTCTGCCCATTTGACGAAACTCAAGAAACTTGAAAAATATCAGCATTGGAATATCCCTTACGCGTGGGCTTTACAAAATGTGCTGAAACGTCTATCACAAAGTTTTCGTGAAATGAAAACACTCGGCAGAGGACACCCACAATTCAAGTCGTGTAAGAAACACAAAGGGATGACCTTTCGCGGTGAACAGGTTAAGTTCGAGTATCTTCTACCGAAACAGAAAAACGAAAGAAACCATCCGACGTATCAAATTCGTCTCAATGGACGTTGGTATCGTTTTGCCTTACACCGCCCTATAGAAGGCAAAATTAAACAAGTTCAAGTAACCAGAGACGCGTTAGGGGACGTGTATATCACACTCACTGAAGAATGTAGGGAAGTCAAACCCGAACCCAAGACAGGTAAAGCTGAAGGGTTCGACTTTGGAATCAAAGACTTCCTGACTGGCTCTGACGGTAAGCCGTATACGTCTCCCATGTTCTACAAACACAACGCCAAGCAGTTGGCAGAAGCACAACGAGAGCATTCCCGAAAGGTGAAAGGGTCTAATAACAGAGAACGGAGCAGAAAACAGGTTGCCCGTATCCACAAGAAGACTGCCAATCAGAGAACAGATCACCATTGGAAACTTGCGATAGACTTGTGCCAAAAGTTTGATGTGCTGTTCTTTGAAGACCTTAACCTTGACGGGATGAAACGCTTGTGGGGGAAACAGGTCTCTGACCTCGCTTTTGGTGAGTTTCATGCAGAAACTCAAACACCAAGCTCGCAAGCGTCTGCGTTCTGTGTTGCAGATTGACCGCTGGACACCTTCTACAAAGTGCTGTTCTGTGTGTGGACATAAAAATGAAAATCTCACGCTATCAGATAGAGACTGGACGTGTCCAAGTGTGCATACACACCTCGACCGTGACCATAACGCTGCTATGAACATTCTCAAGGAAGGGGTAGCTTCCTTTGGGTTAGGCGTTGTAAGACCGATTGTTCTGTTTAACAGGATTCTCGGCTGCTCCGTTGAATCGTCCAGTTCGGTTCTGAATTCCACAAATGCTTTCTGCTTAACTTTTGCAGAAGCCCCCGAATTCATTCGGGGGTCTATCACCTACTTTGATTGCTTATACTTATCAGAAGAAAAAGCCACCAGTGAAGCTACGAGTGCTTGATGACATCAAGGATTTGCTGGTTCTCGTTAACTGCTGAATCCTTATGTCGAACTCACGTTAAAGGGTAAAAAGTTGTCGCCTTCTTTGTCGGAATCGGATATACTTCTACAGATTGGTATTGGAGAATCGTATATTATACCATTTCTAAAAGTTTATATTGCATTAACCGCACCTGAGCGCACAGACTCACAGTCTATGCTACAAGGAGGCACAAACTAAAAGTTTATGCTACAATTTCAATCAGAAATGGTATTATATATTGTACGGTTTTGTAGTGAACGGAGTATCGTAGGTATCAGATGAACATCGTCTTTCTATTTTCAGATGAACACACGGGGTCTGTAATGGGGAATAGCGGGCATCCGGTTGTCCGCACGCCTTACCTTGACCGCCTTGCTCGAACAGAGTTACGCCTTCGACAACGCCTATTGCAATAGTCCAATCTGTACGCCTTCACGCTTGTCCCTGCTCACCGGACGCTTTCCGCATCAGATTGGAGCGTGGGATTTAGGAGCAATTGCGGATCGGCAGTACCAAACGTGGGGCGATTACTTGACGGAGGCGGGTTATGAGACTGTGTTATGCGGACGAACACATTTCAACGGAACTGACCGAATGCTCGGCTTTTCTGATCGCTTGCTGGACGATTTGCCTCGATGGTGCAACGCAACTGGAAGACCACCACGGCGCACGCCAGACGAACGGCGAGGTTCCAACTCACACGTCGCCGAATGCGGACCCGGAGACCACGAACATACGAGATATGATCAAAACGTCGCAAATTTGGCAGTGGATTTCCTTCGCGAAAAAGCGGCTTCACCGGACGACAAACCGTTTCTGCTCTATTGCGGATTCATGCATCCGCACTTCCCACTGATCGCACCGCCGGAATTCTTTTCACGGTATGACCCGGACACACTCGAATTACCTGCAACATGGAACGAACCGCTTGAGTCTCAACACCCGATAATCCAACACCACCGTTGGGCGTGGCGGAACGATATTCCTCCACCTGAAGCCGTTGTACGTCGTGCGTTAGCCTCCTATTACGCGCTTGTTTCATCTCTCGATGCGCAAGTTGGAAGGATACTACAAGCGATTGATACAACGCCATTACGCGAAAATACGCTCGTCATCTATACCAGTGATCACGGCGAGATGGCAGGACACCACGGTATCTGGCAGAAGCAGTGTTTCTACGAACCGGCGGTAAAAGTGCCATTGATGCTGCGTCTACCTTCCGGTGAGACCGGTCGCGTGGCAGAAAATGTCTCTTTAGTGGATGTTTTGCCGACTTTGTTGGAAGCGGCTGGTTTGGAAATACCGTCTGACTTACCGGGCGACAGTCTGTTGGGGATAGCCCGACACCAAGCGAACGAGACGACGCGTGCTGTCTTTTCGGAGTACCATCACATGGGTATGCTTAACGCTGGCTTCATGCTCAAACGTGGGGATTACAAATTGTGTCATTACGTCGGAAGCGAACCGCAATTGTTCAATGTGAACATTGACCCTTTGGAGAACGATGACTTGGCATCGAAGCCTGAATATGCGCAAAGCGTAATGAAATGGAAACTGCCTTGCGTGCGGTCCTCGATCCAGAACGAGAAGACGCGCGGGCAAAAGAGAATCAGAGGGTGCGCAGAGCGAAGGGGTTGATTCAACCCGACCTACGTGCGTATTTTCGTTAAACCTCGCCGTCCCAATAGCTCAGACTTGGGTCTTTACGGTAGATCTTCCCAACAACATACGGGGAGTACCTTATTAGAATCCGGGTATTCGCTCACGTCGTGCGGTATGGTCGTACCGAGGATGAATAAGGTGACCGGAGCATCGCTGCTATTTACAAACTTATGTGCCCCGATTGTGCCCGGTGGAAACGCAAGGAAATCGCCCTCATTTACCTCTACATCGCCTCGAGGGGTTTTGAGCGTACAAGCACCTTCCATAACATAGCACATCTCCTCCCCGAAATTGTGAAAATGCATCGGGAAACTCATCTTACCCGGTTGCAGCCGAATCACGCGATATCCTAAATTTTTGCCGCCGATGAGCGGGTCGATGTCTTTGTCCTCGAAGTCGTAAGGGTGTGGTGCATTTTTATGTTGCCACGCTATTTCATCAATATGAATGCGGTTGATGTAGATGTCGCGCCGCGCTTGCAGGCAATCAATGAGGTATTGGCGCGCATCTTTAAAAATGGAGTGGCCGTCACCGACGAGGATCGTATTGAATCGGAGCGCCAAGACCTTACGCAATTCGAGTGCCGCCTTAGGTGGATCGCTCAGTTTACTATCAGCGAGCAGTGTCAGGGCGCCCATGGGTTCACCTACCACGAGATCTCCGAATAAGACGGCCTGTTTCTCTGGAAAATAGAGCGCGATTTCGCCAGGACTTTTTCCGTGCCTGAGATGGATGGCGTGTAAACCCGGGACAATTGCCTCACGGTCCTGAACCGTTCGGGTGGGTGTGATGTTCAGCGCGTCTGCGTCGGCTTCATGCACAATCACGTCAGCACCTGTCCATTCCTGAAAGACAGCGGCTTCGCGTTCATGATCGGCGTTTGTCAGGACAATCGACTTTGCACCGCCGAGTGCTGTCAGGTGTTCTCGGTCGTCGTCAGACATCGCGACCGGATCTATCAGAATATTTCCATCAGGACGCACCCACAAATGTCCATTAAAGTCTATCTGTCGGTCCGGACTAAAGACCCCCCAACTGTATATATCTTCAAAAATCAAGCGTTTCATTGTTGTTTTTCCTTTGAGACGAATCCGTAGACTTCAATTTCGTGTACGAAGGCTCTACCCAACGCTATCTGCGGTACGATTGCGCCACGCCTTGGATCGTACCGACTGGCTTTCTTTTCATCATCGGTGGTGCCACTGATGTAGATACGGATTGCATCCGTCACAACAGCACTAATGCGTGCTTTAATGACCGGACTCTGGTTGTTCTGAACCTGCAGAATTGCCGCCCAACGTTCTTCGCCTTCTAACTTCTGGTATATCATGGCGTTTATAATATTGGTGCCGCGAATGGTGATCCGGTGAATGGCTTTTCGAGTCGGAAGGTTTAGATGAATCCACCGTCCATCGGCGTATCCCCTTGTTTTCACATCGCCATCTATCATTTCTGCTGAAGTGCAGGTGACCCCATCCGTGACGGCGTAGTTATAAAGTTCCTGCGGTTCGATTAGCATCTGCAGTGCCTTAGATTGGCATCCTGAAAAAAGCGTTACAACACAGAATGCTATGAAAATAGAAAGGTAACGTTTCATCTTTTCCTCCAGCGCATTGTTTCATTCCTTCAGGATATTATACCGTATTTCCGTTTTTCTTTGAATTGGAATTTTGTGAAAAGCGTTGCTTTAAAACTGCGCTCGACCTATAATGCAGTATCTGGATTTACAAGTAAAAGGAGAATCACAATGTACAAAAGCGCGATTTTGGGTTGTCGGGGACGTGCCCGTGGGCACGCACGCGCCTATGAACACGTCAAGGGTGGTAAACTTGCCGCTATCTGCGACATGCAAGAAGATTTACTCAACGATTTCGGGGATGAATTCGGGATTGATGCTCGTTATACCGATCTCGATGAGATGCTTTCGAAGGAGAAACCGGATCTCCTGCACATCGTTACTGCGCCCGTGCTACGTGGAAGTAATAAACGTATCCGCTACCCGCTGATGAACCAAGCCTCTGAGCACGGCGTACCCGCGGTGATTGTTGAAAAACCGGTTGCTGTGGAGAGCGAAGACTGGCGGCAGATATCCGAGCTTGCCGAACGCACTAAAACGAAGTTCGTTGTCAACACACAACTCAATTTCCATCCGCAGAATCTTGCCCTCAAACGTGATGTTGCAGAAGGCAAAATCGGTGCAATCAAATTTATTGAGGCAAGCGCGCGCAACCCACCCGTTGACCAAGCTCCGCATGTCCTACAACTCGTGTCGTCCTATATTGACAACTCGCGACCCGCGAAGGTACAAGGACAGATCTCTGGTGCCGAACAACTCGATTCTGCGCAACCCTCACCTGCGAATGCTACTGCTTTGGTTACCTACGCAAATGGCGTGCAAGTCTCGGTTGCATTCGGACCGGAGATGGCACCACGCGTACTGCCCGATACAGGAAATAATCGGCATAAGCGCGTCTGCGTTTTTGGCGAAAAAGGGTTTGTCCACTGGCGGTTTGAGAGTTGGGAACGGAATCTACCCGGAAGCGGATATGAAGGTGGCGATCTCAACTACGGTGCCCAAGATGTCATCGCCCAAGGTGGACTCACAGACGCAGTGTTTAACTGGCTTGACGATGAGAGCAAGGAGCATCCGACCCACTTGAAGCAATCTCTTGCGGAATTCAACCTGTTGTTGGGAATTTACTATAGCGGTTTGACGAACACTGTCGTTGAATTGCCGTTTGATCCGCCTGATGGCATGATTGACATGTTCCGCGAACGACTCTAAAAGTAGTAGGCGCGTCCGTGCGCTGTCCACTGTTTTCTTCACAAGCATCTTACCAAACGGATGATTTCCTCAATGGTCCCGAGGCACTGGGAGGTGCTTGCCACTTGAAAGTGAGTCGCTTTGAAACAGAACGCGAAGAACGTCGTGAACGTGTCGCACAACGTAACAGAAACTTCAAAGTTCGGATATAAGATGCTATAATAGCAGCTGATTTACATTTTTCCGAACAAAAGGAGTTCATGAAGATGAGTAATTACAAAATATCAGGGAAAACCTCTCACAGTGACTATAGCTGTGGAATTGATTATAGATGAATTTGGAGATCAGTCCAATATCCCCAAATCACGGATAGTGAAACGGGTATATGATGATATACACATAGTTGGTGGTGGATTGGATTCAAATTATAAGGAGATCACGACCCTTATAGCCCATGCTCTATTTACATTGAAGCACATTGGATTTGCAAATAACCCGCGCCATGGGTATTGGTCTTTTGGCAAGATTGACACCGTAATTAATTGGCTTGAAAGCCTAAAGTAATAAACGATGCATACGTTAAGTTAAGATTTCACGCGTTCCAAAAGAGATAACCCTCATGAACGACATCATCTATATGGACAACCATGCCACAACGCCAATAGCACCGGAAGTGTTAGAAGCGATGATGCCTTACCTCACCACGCACTTCGGGAATGCCGCCAGCACACACCCGTTTGGTGTTACTGCAAAGGATGCAGTGGAAAAAGCACGCCATCAGGTCGCCGATCTGCTCGGTTGTTCAACGGAAGAGGTTATTTTTACCAGCGGTGCGACCGAATCGGACAATCTCGCCGTCAGGGGATCGCTTACGCCTGTAGAGAGAAAGGGAACCACATCATCACGAGCACCGCGGAGCATCATGCAATCCTCGATACCTGCCACGCCTTGGCGGCAGAGGGGTTTGAGACCACATATCTCCCCGTAGACAAACACGGAATGGTGAGTCCTGATGACGTGGAAGCTGCCATTACCCCGAAGACGATTCTGATGAGTTTCATGTATGCGAATAACGAGGTCGGCACGATAAACCCGATTGCCGATATTGCTGCTGTCGCTGCCAAACACGGTGTGCTTTTCCATTCAGATGCGGTGCAAGGGATCGGCAGCTGCCATCAGACATGGAGATGCTCGGCGTGGATCTTGCATCTCTGACTGCACACAAAATTTACGGTCCGAAGGGGATCGGTGCGCTTTACGTCCGGCGAAACAGATCGAAACCACATTCGCTTTTCCACGGCGGTGGGCAGGAAGATGGGGTTCGGCCCGGCACTTTAAACGTCGCGGGTATTGTCGGCTTAGGTGCGGCGTGTGCGCTTGCTAAAAACTACATGGACACGGGAAAAGTTGCGTGGCGACCTTGCGGGACTCACTCCATCAGAAGTTAAACGCGCGTTTGGAAGACATTCATCTCAATGGACACCCTGAACACGGCTACCGGGCAATCTGAATCTCTGTTTTGCGGGTGTGCAGAGCCATGCCCTACTGATGGGGCTTAAGAGCGTCGCGGTGTCAACTGGGTCGGCATGTGATTCTGAATCGGTAAAGGCATCACATGTCTTGGTTGCAATGGCGGTTCCGAATGAGCTGGCACTGACTGCTGTCCGTTTCGGTTTGGGACGTTACAACACCGCGGAAGAGGTCGACGTTGTCGCCGATGAGGTCGTAAGGGTCTGTTAACCGATTGCGTGCCTTAGCACCGGAGTAGCATAGACACACCATTCCCTCAATAGGAACGATTTCCCAGTTGCGACGCTCTCACTTTTCGCTGGCGAGGTTTCCTAACCTCGCCTTTTTTTATCTTCGCAGAACGGTTGCAATTTTCCTGATAATATGCTATACTCTCAATTATTGAACCTGATTCTAAGCACATAGTACAGGAATCTCGTATGTCATCTGTTGCAGCCCAAACTTACCTAACTCCTGAGGAATACATCGCTTCAGAACGGAAGGCGACGCTCAAAAGCGAATACCTGAGCGGAGAGATAGTCGCAATGTCTGGAGCTAGTAACCTTGCGCATAACCTCATCACAGTAAATACTGCGACTCAGCTTTATAACCAATTAGTAGAAGGCGGGTGCAGAGTTTTTACCAGCGATATGCGCGTCGGAATTAGCGCAGGTGTCTCCTATTTCTATCCGGATGTCGCTGTCGTCTGTGGTGAACTCCGTTTTGAGGATGATGCTTTCGATACACTCGTCAATCCGCAGGTCATTATTGAAGTGCTTTCTACTTCAACCGCAGGCTATGACCGAGGTGAGAAATTCATACGCTATCGGCAATTAGAATCACTCCAAGAATACATCCTTATTTCACAAGATCAGGTTCATGTCGAACACTATCTCCGTCAAGGTAAACAATGGGTACTCAGCGAATTTAGCGCACTTGAGAACGTGTTGCCACTCGCTTCAATTGGGGCAGAACTCTCCTTGAATCAGATTTACAGATTCGTTGAAGTAGAAACCGATGACACCCTTCAAGCCACACGTAGCGTCTAAAAAAGGAAGCTTCATTTCATGTTGACTGTTGAACAGCTCACTGCTTGCGGATTGGAAAAAGTAGAGGCATCAAAAATAGCCGAAGCCGTCAATCGGATATTGGAGACGCAATCTCCGACTGCCTGTTGGTACGAGATTTCACGCTACATTCTCACCCGACACCACCCGTTCGCGCTCCATCAACTGCTTTATGAGACGGTATATGCCGACTTTGATCGCGCAACCTATGGACCACCGCCCGCATGGTTTCCTACTGACGAAGACATCACCAAAGCAAATATCACCCGTCTAATGATGGAATTGAATATCAAGACCTATCCTGAGTTTCATGCTTGGACGGTGAGGAATCGGGACACGTTTTGGCAGATGATGATTGGTGCCTTGGGCATTAAGACGGTATCCACAAACGCCGAGCCACAACAAGATGCAACAGGCATCGTAACAAATCTGCATAAACTCAACATCGTCGAAAGTTGCTTCAACGCACCTCCTGATACTATTGCGGTCGTTACACAACAAGAAAACAACGAAAATCTGGTAACACTCACCTATCACGAACTGGAGTGCCTCACCAATCGGGTCGCGAAACGGACTTGTCGAAATCGGTATGAGACAAGGCGACGCGGTGGCGGTTGACATGCCGATGAATGCCGAATCTGTCGCCATCTATCTGGGGATCGTCAAAGCGGGATGTGTTGTTGTTGGCATCGCTGATAGTTTTGCCCCGGACGAGATAGCCACCCGTCTCCGCATCGGTAATGCAAAAGCGATTTTCACACAAGATTATATCAACAGAGCAGGTAAACGCCTCCCGTTGTATGAAAAGGTTATCGCCGCAAATGCCCCCAAGGCGGTTGTATTTAGTGCAGCTTGCAAGCTAAATCTTGCTGTAGAAAAGTCGTGTGAAGGCAGCGACACGGTCGCGCAGCTCCAACGCGAAGAAGATATGACATGGAATGACTTTCTGAGTGACACGGAAACCTTTACCGCCATCCCGTGCCCACCCCTGATGCACATACCAATATCCTCTTCTCCTCCGGGACCACTGGCGAACCGAAGGCGATCCCGTGGACACATACCACCCCGATCAAATGTGCTGCGGATGCCTATCTGCACCACGACATCCATTTCGACGATGTGTTGGCATGGCACACAAACCTTGGTTGGATGATGGGACCGTGGCTCATCTATGCCAGCCTCATCAACAAAGCCACTATCGCTCTATATGATGGCGTGCCGACCGGGCGCGACTTCGGTGTTTTTGTCCAGAACGCGAAAGTCAGCATGCTCGGTGTCGTACCTACCCTCGTTCGCGCCTGGAAAAACACAGAATGTATGCACGGGCTGGATTGGCATGCGATTCGAGCCTTCAGTTCAACAGGTGAATGCTCTAATCCAGAGGAGATGCTTTACCTCATGTCCTTGGCTGGCTATAAGCCGGTGATAGAGTATTGCGGCGGCACCGAGATCGGAGGAGGGTATGTCACCGGCACGCGGATCCAACCCGCTGCGCCTTCGACCTTTACAACGCCGGCACTCGGTTTGGATTTTCTGCTTTTTGATGATGATGGAAACCCCTCTGACAACGGCGAGGTTTTCATTGTTCCCCCATCCTTGGGTCTCTCTACAAGCCTGCTCAACACCGATCACAGTGAAGTCTACTTTGCGGGGACACCGCGACCGAATCTACGCCGCCACGGCGATGCTATTGAAAGGTTAGGCAACAAATTTGAAGACGAGCCTTGGCTTACGGGGATGAAATATCGGGTACACGGGCGCGTTGACGATACGATGAACTTGAGCGGTATCAAGGTGAGTTCCGCGGAGATTGAAGAGGTCCTTAACGTTGTTGACGGAATACAGGAGACAGCGGCGGTTGCTGTCTCATCGGAAGACGGTGGTCCGAGTCAACTCGTCATCTATACTGTGCTGGCAGCATCAGAATCCGAACCGACGAAACAGGAGATTCACGCTACGTTACAAGTCGCGCTTTCCGAACATCTCAACCCCCTGTTCAGAATTCACGATGTCGTCATCGTAGATACCTTGCCACGAACCGCTTCTAATAAGGTGATGCGTCGGTTGCTGCGTCAGCATTGTCCCGCAAGTTTCCTATAAAGGCTTGCGCCAGCGAAAACTTGGATTTCACATTTGTTCAATCCCGCCGACTCTCACTGCGAGGCAACACGCGCAAATGTAATACAAGGAATGGAAATGTAATACAAGGAATGGATTTAGTCTATTCCCAGACCAAATCCGGCGTTGATTCCCTACGATTGCATTCTGAATCTTATCGGACTTGACAATTTTCAAATAGCATGCTACTATTTTGGCAATTCACGCCAATAGATGGAGTCGCACCATGCAAGAGAAACAGTTCAAAGTTAGAGCGGCACATTGCGATTATCGCGCAACGGAGGAGGAGATTTACCAAACACTCCGCCGTATCACTGATCCGCTCACCCATGCCTGGAAACCGATTGAGACCGCCAAGAAGGTGGTCATGAAACTTAATATGATGAAACCGGCTGAACGCATTATCTACTTTGAGGGTCGCCGCCGAGAATTGGTAGACGATGCGGTTTGTCGTGCCGTGTTGCGATTAATCAAGGAACACACCACGGCGCAGTTGGTCGCTACCGATACGAACCCATATACCCACGGGCACCGGATGCCACCGGGTTTCAACTACGAGCATCACTTAAAAGAATTCGATGTACAGTTCGTCGATTCCAATCTGCCCCCATTTAAAGCCTATGATGTCCCCGGCGGCGGTTCAATGTTCGATCGATACACGCTGAGTGCCTGTTTTGACGATGCGGATGCAGTCGTCTCTGTGGCAAAGATGAAAAACCACGCTTTCATGGGCATCACCTTGTGCACCAAGAACCTGTTCGGGTTGCCACCGATGCTGCTCCCAGAAGGCAGGACACGCAGTTATTACCATCATCTCATCCGGCTCTCCTATGTGCTCCCGGACCTGGCACTCATCACGAAGCCGTGCCTCAATATCATTGATGCGTTGACGGGACAGTGGGGACGCGAATGGGGCGGTGTCGGCAGAATCTGTAACGCACTCATCGCGGGGGATCATCCGATTTCCACTGACACCGTTGGTATGCACCTGATGGGACACGATCCGCAGTCCGATTGGCCCACACCTCCCTTCAAACGCGATCGGAACCATATCCTCATCGCAGCACAGCGCGGATACGGCACTGTCAACTTGGATGAGATCGATTGGGAGAGTGAAGTCAAGGCACCGTTGGCGGAATTCGATTCTGTCGAAACAGATACGTCAGAGACGGTCGCTAACTGGCGGCGAACGACGTGTGAACAGGGATTAGTCTATCAAGAAAACCAAAAGGACCTGATTGATCGGTATCGGAACAACTTCATTTACATGCAAGGTGGCGAAGTCGTTTGGAGTGGACCGGATCCATCAAATCTCGGCAGCCGTCGACAGTTGAGCGGTGACAAGAAGGATAGCGCGCTTTGGCTCAAACTTGTCGATGCTGAAGAGCATGAAGGCGAACATTTTAACGTCTATGAGGACTGCCTAAAACCCTTTGCTGCGTAAGCACCATAACCCGCGCTGGCGAGGTTTCCGATTTTCTGTTGATATTTCGCTGGCGAGGTTTGCAACCTCGCCTACCATCTGATCTCTTCCCCTATTTCGCTGGCGAGGTTTCCAGCCTCGCCTACTAAAGGAGAAAGCAAAATGGGTATCACCGAGGCGCAGAAGAAGCAGTTGGACGAGCAGGGATGCATCGTCATTCCAGACGTGCTTTCCGACGAGGAAATTGAGGTATATCGGGCAGATATACTCCGCTTGGCAGAGGAAGAGAAGCAGAACGGGTTAGCGCGTCAACACACCGACGGGTACGGCCAGCTTGTCCGCTGGTTAGTCAACAAAGGCGAGATGTACGAGCAACTGGTCGCCCGCCCCAAGGTGATGCCCTACTTTGAACATCTGCTCGGTCCCGATTACACGCTCAGCACGCTCACTTCCAATATCATCGACCCGGGCGCGCCGGATGGTGGCTACCATGTTGATAGCGTGCTTGGATCGATGCCGGAGCCGCTACCCAGTTTCCCACTGGTCGCCAATAGTCTCTGGTTGCTCGACGATTTCACACCGGAGAACGGTGGAACTCGTCATGTGCCGGGTATCCACCTTCAGCGTATCAAGCCGCCTCCGGGTACCACCCACCATCCCGATGAGGTTCGGCTCTCCGCACCGAAGGGCTCCGTGTTTCTCTTTAACGGTGCGATCTGGCATTCCGCGGGTGCTAACAGAACCGATCAGCAGCGGATCGCGTTAATCTGTTTCTGTTGTCGTTCCTTTGTCAAACCGATGTTCGACTTTGTACATCATATCAAACCAGAAGTCGTCGAACGCGCCACCCCGACCATGCGCCGCATCTACGGGTTCGATTCCCAACCCCAACCCCCAGATCGACCCACGCGGTAAAAAGGTGCCACCGTGGGCGTGATTTGAAAATCCACCAATAACACATCGGTAGGTGTGGTTTCCTGCTACGCTCTTCAGAAAAACATACCTATTGTCGGGACGGGCCCTCGTGTCCGTCCTTTTCCAATTTCCTAATCGGCAAGCGTAGGTAATCTACTAATTTTCATTTGTGTTTTTGGGAGTGATAATATTAGAATATAAGCATGATGCGGTATAAAACAAAAAACTCTAATCCAAAATTAAGCGAAGAGAAAAACATATAAGTCAATGATAACCTCGTAACGGACATTGACAATGATAATGTCAAAGATAAAGTTGATTATATAAAAAAATTTTGTGGCATCAAAACAAACATCAGTCCAGATAAATTCAAACTGAATCTCTCAAAACACATCACGGAAGAGACTGAGGTTTACAAAGAACTACGGGAATGTATCTTTGATCGAGCATAGGCAACGCAAGTAAATTGCCAATTACAATCCTGAAGCGAATTCTATTCAGACTTTACTCTTTGTGGAGGTACGGACGTGCAAATTGAAACTTACTTTGATTTCTTGGCAGCGGATGACATCCGCATAAAAGGTACACGTGTCGGCATTGAAACTGTCCTATACGAATATATTCACAACAGCCAAACGCCAGAGACAATTGCAGACAACTACTATACGCTCACATTGGAACAGGTTTACGCAACAATCTTATATTATCTGCAGAACCGAGAAAAAATTGGTGCGTATTTGGAGGATTATCTGGAATACTGCCGAACGGCACGAGAAGAATACGAGAAAAACCCGCCACCCGGTGTCGTTCGCCTGCGCCAACTTATCGCAGAAAGACAGAGCGAACCTAATAATTCACATACCGACATCGCCAAGAGCAGCTCCGCAAGCACAACACCATCTTCTACCAAAAATGAACAGGAATAAAAATGCGTCGGTATCTGATAGACGAAAATATCTCTGGGGTTTACCGCACGCAATTGCTTCACCACGAACCATCACTAACAGTTTTGATGATTGGTGATGAGGGTGCCCCTGCGAGAGGCACATCCGACCCTGAAATTCTGCACTGGTGTGAGCAGAATCACTTCAACCTGATAACAAACAACCGGAAAAGTATGCCTCAGCATCTCGTTGACCATCTGGCAGCAGGACACCATGTATCGGGGATTTTCACGATTAATCTCAAAGTGTCTATGGGATTAATTATTGAACAACTGATTCTCATCGCAGGTGCATCGCATGAAGACGAATTTCGTGATCATATCATCTATATTCCACTCACTTAAGTGAGGAAGCTAAGTCTAAAGGAAAATTATAAGGCGAGGTTGGAAACCTCGCCAGCAGAAAAGGGGAAAAGGACAGGAATCTCCAAAATTAGTTCCGTTCAATCATTGACTGCTTGAGTGTGCCCCAAGTTACCGCCAGTTTTCCAGTGTATTCAATTGCCAACGCCAGTGTATGCAATCTCCTCACGTCGGCATCACTTAACGCCCCTTCAAAAATGGCAACTTCGTCAATGGCACCGGCGTACCAGATACCGCCTAAATGCTGTGTGTAGGCGATTGTCGGCTTTTGCGCGGCACCGTAAGCGATACTGATTGGGTCAGGTGCCGGGGTAGTCTTTTTTAACTCACCGTCCAGGTAGATTCGGACGGACTTTTTGTTCTCAACAACCCCAACGACATGATGCCACTCGCCATCAGTGGGAAACGGTACATAAGCGGAGGGCCAATGCTTTGCGGCGTTCGCCGTGTCCGCTCGAATCCAGATACCAACATTATCGTTATCGAGCAATTGAATGCCGTAGTTGTACTTGTCATAGATGGGATTTCGTGTGCCAAGGGTCGGCTTAATAATCGCCTCCATCGTCACAGAAGGGAAGAAGATGTCCTCACCCATTCGTATCAAATCAACAACACCGTCAAAATCGAGGGCTTCACTGCGAAACCCGTCGATTTGGCCGGGTTTTGCCGGTAATGGTTCCGCTGTTCTTTCCAAAAATATCTTCAACGTCTTTCGCTTGAACGGTGCCTTTGTCAAAGGTCCAAAGTGCCGCAAGCCCCATTTTTACTCTTGCGTCCTCGGCTTCTGCCGACTGAATCACCGTGATAGAAATTACTAAACCGACTAAAAGCAGAACAGAGAGAAACAATTTCGTTTTCATCTAATCTTCGGGCTGGAGACCCCTGCCTTTAGGTCGCGGAGGAAAGCCCGTCTCCTGTATTTTTCGTTTGACAAAAAGTGCCAAAAATGTTAGAATCGTCTATGTAGTGCAGAAGGTTGTGAATTATGCGTGCTGGACGCTATTGCTGAGTGGGTTCACGTAAAACTACAACACGATGAAGCGAAAGACCCCAGACTGAAATCTTTGAGTGTAATGGAGACGAGGCATTAAAACACCCGATCCGAAAAACGCACTCTTAAACAGAGTTAGTGGCTTTTTAGCCAGCGGTTCGCTTAGACACCGTTGTGGAGACAGTGTAAGACCTTCTCTGAAGGCTGTTGTCTACGAAGCACAAGTTTCCCCAACTTTAGGTTATGCGTGCTATGACGAAGCATTCCTCCTTAGATTCTGATTTCCTTCTAAACAATTTAAAGTACGCACTTAAAATCCAAACATTTCTTATAATTTTAAACTATTTAGAAAAACGTGTCAAGTTTTTTCAAGAAAGTCACATTCATCTCCAGCGGATTAAGCCGCCTCCCGGTACTACCCACGATCCTGATGCGGTTCCTCCGAACCTCTCCAATAAAACTGTACCGTTAATCGTAAATTTCACGTTATATTAAAGCGCAAGCCTTAGCAACTTCCGATTTTTATTTATTAAGATAATTGGCGTGGGAAGAAGAATTCGCTTAATAAAAGCTCGTTATCCGGAAACTGAGTAATCGCTTCCAGAAAGGAAAACAGGAGGAGATTCCATTGTGACTATGATAACTCTTCATTGGCAAAAATGTATCAAGAACTCCCTCTGGTGTCGATGCAATGAAAAACTCTTAAACGATGGCCGTCTGGAGTCCCGCCTCGGCGACCATAGCGTCGGTATCAGCGGTGTCTATATCATCTGGACGGGAATTGACAACCGCACAGTACTGAAAGTCGGAAGCGGAATTATCAAAGATAAATTAGCAGCACATCTCAGAGACCCTGAAGTTCAAGCCTATAAACCTACACGATTGTATATTACGTGGGCTTCTACTCTATCTGTAATTGGACCAGAAGAGATACAAAAAGGCATAGAGAAGTTCCTTGGTACCGTCTTTAAACCGAAATTGGCGGAACATTTACCTGATGTTGACCTTGTAATGGTCAATCTGCCTCGGTGGGATAAACCGGTACCTCCACTATGAGAAGTCGAATAAAAATAGATACCGGGGCACTTAGCGAATGTCAGCGAAGTGAAATGCAAGCACGATATAGGCGATTACTGCGAGGTTTCCTAAGCTCACGGGCGGGGAGAAGGACGAGGTTTTCGGGTCAATGCCGTTCAACCATTGACCGTTTTAGTGTTCCCCATGTTACCGTGAGTTTGCCTGATGCCTCGACTGCCAACGCATCTCGCAGATTCATCGTGATGTCTCGGATCTCATCTCCAGTCAGTGCCTCACTGAAGATCGCAACCTCATCAATCACGCCTTCCATGTAATCACCTCTTGGCGCGCCCCAGCGTCCAATCCTTACCGGTTCTGTGTTATGGTCGGGCGGAATCTCGGTTTTGGTCTCACCCTCCATCACACCATCCATATACGCCCGAAGCACTTTGCCATCGTAGGTAGCGGCAACGTGATGCCATTTCCCATCCGCAGCGACCGTCTTGCTAAAGGCAGTCTTCCACGCCCCACCTGTGGTGTAGTTCACGCCGAGCAGTTTTGTATCCCCTGCAACGTAAACTCCATAATTCCTGGGGTTCCCAGCAACGGGCTCCTTCCCCAGCACCGTTTGCCACTTGCCGGTCGGCTGCGTTTTGATCCACGCTGATGCCGTATATGCGGTGAGGTCAAACGCTTTATCGTGTGGGATTTCCACGATATTCCCTTTCCCGCCGAATTCGAGAGCCGTTCCTATTTTGCCTTGCACCCATTTTGCACCGACAATATCACCGGTATGCCCGTTCCCAGAGGCATCCTTGGCGGTATCGCCTCGGTTTTCGTCGAAAAGCCACGCGCCAACGAGCGCATCTTCCAAGACATCCGCCACACATACTCCTGCACTACACAGCAGCCCGATTAACACTATCAGCATCATCATAGGTAATTTTTGAACAGTCATCGTTGCGTGTTCCTTTGGTGTCAAATGTCAAGCGGATTTGGGAATAGGTAGGACATCGCGTTCGACTTCGTGGACCTTACCCGGATAGGTTTTGCCGCGAACCCACATGACAGCACAGCCTCCCTCGGGTTTAGGAGTTGTCCATTCTGCTTGCGCACTGAGATAATGGGCAACGAAACTACGGCGGAACCGCAGGCTATGGTTGTCCATGCTCTTATGCAGGAGATGACTATGGAACCAGACGACCGCACCGGGCGGGACTTCTACCGCAACACCGTCTGCGTCGCGGACACCACGTGCGAGTTTGAATTCTCGTTGTTGTGAGCCTTCAAGGTCGTCGTGCTGAAAGATGTCCCATTTGTGGCTGCCCGGAATAACGTAGAGGCAACCGTTCTCCCGATCAGCTGGGTCAATAGCCGTCCACGTCCCGACAGTCGTCTCTGTATTAAACCGAGTCCGAAAGTAAAACTTGTCTTGATGCCACGGGAAACCGAGACCAATCTTTGGGGCTTTCCAAATAAACAGCGTGTTGATGCCGAGGATATCCGGACCGAGGATGTCAACAAGTGGATCGGTGAGACGGGGATCGCGCACACGTGCGAGGAATTCTGGATCGTAGCAGCTCGGAAAATGGATCTTGTGCATCGCATAGATGCCTTGCTGCTCCGCTTTCCCGTCCGTGACAAGTGCGTTCTGATCGATATGTACGGACGGAAACGGACGTTTCCTGTCCACAATGTCTTCAGCGACTTGACGAAATGCATCGTTCTCTTCGGGGGTAAATACGTTCAAACGGACGAGGTAGCCGTTCTCATTCCAATACGCTAACTCGTCCGCACTCAAGCCAAAGCACCGATCCTGTGGCGTTGATTCTGTGTTCATTGTAATCTCCTATTTCTTGATTTGCAGGAGCGGGTGGGAATCCTTTTGAACCGCTATAAAAATGATAGCATATTTGATGGAAAAGTCAAACCGGTTTTTTCTTGACAGATACTGTTGTAAAGTGTATCTTCATGGGAAATTATCAGGTACTACCCACTAATGTTTTGAGAAATATGTGAAGTGTGCTAAAATAGCGTACTGGTTCAAAGTCACTGTCTAACACATGGAGGAACGATAATGAGCACGAATGAATCACCAGTGAAAGAGACCTACCGCGCGCCAGCGTTTGCAGATTTCGAACCTGAACTTTCGGCTCCGGGTGCTACGCCTGAAAGATTGGCGTACCTGAAGGAGCACGGTTTTGTCATCATCAACGACTTTGCCGATAACCCTTGGATTCCTATTCTTCGGGAGGCGGGTCGCCGTGTCACTGAGGCGTGTGCCCCCGAAAACAGCTACGACACAATCGATTGCTCAAAGGGTTATGTCCACCGCGCCGCACACGACGAACCGTGGGCGATCCGAGGACTCATCCATCCCGCTTTCGGTGAATCGAGTTTCGCCGAGTTCCACGGCTCTTCGGATTTCCTGGATTTTGTTGCATCTTGGTGTCACGGGCTTCAGCCTGAGGATATGACGTTTAGTGGGATGCTGCTGTGGGCAAATCCACGGAAACAGGAGAACGGACCCAGTTGGCACAGAGACGTGACGTGGTGGGGGGATGGAGCAAGTTACTTCTCACAGCGGGAAATCCGCGGGGATACGCCTGAAGATTATTCCGAAGAGGTAGAGCGGATCCGCTGGAAAGAAATTCAAGAAAGCAATGAGAAGCGGGTTACCGAACGGAACGGCGTGAGCATGTTTTTGGCACTCACAGACGACGAATGCCATGAGGTTATCCCCAGTAGCCACCATCGATGGCGCACACCGTTTGAGCATGACGTGCTACTCCCACAGGGGATGAAGGATCAGGGGGTCCCATATACGCCGAGTTGGAACAAGTCTGACCCATTGCCCGGTCAGGTTGCTATTCGGCTCAAGCCCGGGGAGGCACTCATCCGCAATGGTAATAACATCCACACAGGACATACCGTGCCTGAGCGTGAGCGCAACACGTTGTCGATCGGCTGGTCAAAATGGTCGGGCGAATCCACCGGCGAACCTTCGACTGCAGACGCACGAAACGCTTGGCAACTTGATCCTGCTATCCGAGACGCTTTACCAGCACGGGTTTATGCAGACAGCATGGGACCGGTGGGCAGAAACCCAGAAACTCGGAGGCACGCTTGAGGACCGGTACGCCGGATATGACATCACGCAGATTAAATCTGGAAAGGTCGCCGGATGGCGCACTGAATTGGAACGCCAAGCTGCCGCAGCAGGCGACGCTTGGGAAGCTTTCCAAACTGCTGTTTAAACACCACGACTCAGCGCAAACTTAGGATTGTGTTCTCTATCAGTGCTGCTCCAACTATCCGATTTTTTGTGTAGTTGGAGCAGTCTTAATTCTTTTCACATTTCACTCCAGACGTGCCCCAATACATAGACGTTATTCACACTTTCTATTCTCTCCTTCTGGCTCCTTGATAGAAAAAACAACCGAACTTCCTGCCCTTATGCCGTAAACTTTTTAAATCGGATTCACGTTAGTACTGAAACCGGAAAAATAAATAAAAAATAAAATAAATATAACCGATTTTCGCCGTTTTGCGAAAGATATCAAATAGGAATTTAGGAACTCGCGCGACCGGTGTTTCCGTCGAAAATACGGCAGGAAGTGGTGACAGAATAGGGGGTGCCTAAGATGAAAAACCTAAGCACAATCCTTTATGGATTAATCCTTTGCGTCTTACTCGTTTTGATAAAAAGCGTAGCCACCGGCACTCCTATAGCACCGATCCCAGCTCAGTCACTATAAAAGATAATCGTATAAGATTGCCGAAAATTGGGTGGGTTGGTATGTTTGAAAAGTTGCGGTTTGAAGGTGAGATTCTTAAGGTGACCTTATCAAGGAAAGCACATCGTTGGTTTGTGTCAATAACAGTAGACCCAAGAACACCGAATGTTCCACGAGATACACGTGGACTCCCTGTTGTCGGTATAGACGTGGGTATCAACTCACTTGCTACACTTGATAATGGCAGGCAATACGAGAATCCGAGACCACTGAAACGATATGAACGCAAACTTAGACGTGAACAACGTAAGTTAAGTAAGAAAGTGTTTCTGTCTAAGAACTGGTTTAGACAGAAACGTAAGTTAGAACGCGTTCACTATCGTATCGCTTGTATCCGCGAAGACGCACACCACAAAGCGACAACTAATATTATCAACAACGCAAGTGCGATTGGTATTGAGACGCTAAAAGTATCTCATCTGCTGAAGAATAAGAAACTTGCCAAAGCATTATCTGATTCAGCGTTAGGTAGATTTCTGGCTAAGCTCAAGTCTAAAGCGGAAGTGCTTGGTGTGAAAGTCGTAGAAGCCCCACAGTTTTTCGCTTCAAGCAAGACGTGTAGTCACTGTGGACACAAGAAAGAACAGTTATCGTTAGCAGAGAGGCAGTATCACTGCCGAAGTTGCGGTTTTACAGAAAATCGTGATGTCAACGCTGCTAAGAACTTAAAACATCTCGCCGTTGGGAAACCAACGGAGAGTCTAAACGCTTGTGGAGTCTGAGTAAGACCTCCACAAGGGAGGCACCGGATAATGAAGCAAGAATCAAAGAACCCCACTCCTTTAGATGTGGGAGTTGTCAACTATAAGATTATTCACAAAACTGAATACGGTTACAGCGACTCGGTGAACCTCTGTTACAACGAAGCGCGCTTGACACCTCGGAATTTTGTGCACTAACACTGTAGCAGAAGCCAATTCGTTGTTGATCCCGAGCCCGGGGCGTGCCGAGAACGTCAGGATTTTTTCGGAAATACCGTTGCGCCTGCTTCGCAGTGAGAATGCAGGCTGCCAATTGTTAAGAAACCATTGATACCCTATTGCCAGTTGAAATTAACCGAAAATCATCGTGAAACGAAGTGGAACGATGCTCAGAGGTCCCATGATTAAAAAAATGACAATTGAAGCGTTTCAGAAACAGATTGAAGATATCTATTACACGCGTGATGCTGAGCGCGGGGTACCACTAACCTTCACATGGTTCGTTGAAGAAGTCGGCGAGTTGGCGAAAGAGATCCGCAAACAACCACAAGACCTGACGCGACTGCGCGAGGAATTTGCGGATGTTTTTGCATGGCTTGCTACATTAGCGAGCCTACTCGGTATTTCCCTTGAGGATGCTGCGAAAATCTACGCAGAGGGCTGCCCGAAGTGCAACGTAACCCCCTGTCGCTGTTAACTTATCGGTGAACTTAATTCCCGTTCAAAAACCGATCGAAGTTGCCACCGAACAGGTTATTGACATCCCGTTCAACCTCCGACGAAGTCAATGTCCACCCTACATCAAGAAGCGTCTGGTATTTCTCTACCAGGACATCTGCGATAATCTGTCGTGAGTGTATCCACTTGTAGACGAGCTGATCCAAAATTCGCGCATCGGAGTGTTGGGGGATAACGCTCAAACCGAGCAATTCAATCCGCTCTCGTGTGATCTCCTCAATGACGCTCGGATTATTCATAAACCACCAGCATCCGAATATCATCAGATTTTTGAATTTCCGCCCAATCACACACAACTCATGTTGGTTTTCGCGCGACAGGAGCGTAACGAGAAACTTGTTATCAGGATTTTCACGGAGTAGCGTTTCCAGACTCGTCAAATCCGCTTTCCCACTTCCATCGCCTGCCATCTGAAGTTGTGGATTCACCGCACGTTTCACGCCGATCATGAGTGCGAACGGAACGTTAAATTCACGGGAGATCGGTAGTATACAGTTGTCAAATAGCCGTCCGAGAACACCGTCATCAGGATATTGGAAATCGGGTGGGAGAGAGACCGCCATGTATTTTGGGCGCATCCGCTGAATCCATGTCTCTAAAAATCGGCGGACTTCTTTGTAGGTTTTCTCCGTTGATAGATTGGGAATCGACATCGTAGCCGAGACCCCGGAGATGTTCATAACCGACTTCTTCATAGGTATTGATAAGGACATCCATCCGAAGTGCCGCTTCAAAGCGCGTGTCGCCAGTGTCGCCGGATTGCCACACCGGTGCCTCCGCCGAATCAAATGGATCGTTCGTCATCACCACTTTAGAGACTTTCGCGCGTTCAAAGACGGTGTCGATAAATGCCTCGACGGTAGTATCCGCAAAATAGGCACGGTAGTCCTGTAGGTTTCGTGAACCAACGTCCAAGCCTAACACATCTAAGGTCGTCACAACGCCGCGGCATGCCTCGCTCAGCGGTGAATTCTCAATGAACAGCGTCTGCCAAATCAGTTCCGCTTGTTCTGTTTTCGACATCGCCCAAAATTGCTGGTATGAGACATCAGATTCGCGGAATACTTCAGCGATGAGGTAGTGATAGGTCAGCAGTTCATCAATACCCCATAGCAACAACTCACCGAACGGGGGGACTAAAGAGGTGTGTGTGAATATCTGTGACACTTTGGGTGTCCACAGCATCTAAAACGGCGGTTTTCAATTCATCTGCGGTTCTAATCTTCTGTATGTGGTTTGATTCAGAAACGTTCATCTTGATCTTCTCCTGTAACAAAATTAACTCAAAAAACGGACATTGACACCTTCTAACGCTTTCTGTATGAACTCGCGGCAGCCGTCGATTGACTTGAGAAACGGGTGATCCTTCGTTAACACACTGAGATCACACTTCTCGACTCACAGTTTTGTTTTGAGGCGTAGCAAAAACAGACCTAAACTTTGGATATCTCAATCCCCATTGGAATCTAATAGTGTCCATAGTCTTCATGATGGATAGGGATTCATCCAACGGCATCACATCACTTTCAAGTTTCCCTTCTCGGAGACACCTGATAACCTCTATCGCTTGGTTTTCGTAGCCGTTGCTTTCAAAGGGTATTTCGATGTGTACGGGCTCTTTTCCAATCCGAATAAGCGTTGCGGAGGTCGCTTGCCAGAATTCGGGGATATGGATTGACCCTTTGGTGCCGATGATGCGTGCTTCCTTCAAGGTCTCGGTTCTGATGGCGCAGAATAGGTTGGCTATTTGCCCAGCATCGTAGCCGAGCAGGATAGCGGCTTGTTCATCCACATTGGTTTCCCCGATGTGTGCGAGGCTCGTGATTTTAGAGGGTGTGCCAAATATCATATATGCCAACGCGATCGTGTAGACCCCAACATCCAGAAGTCCACCACCGCCGAGTTCTGGATTGAATAGCCTGCCTTCACGGGTCTCAGTGCTCAGAACCTTACGGGATGCGTGATCCGCTGTTAGCGTCCGCGGTTCACCTATCGCACCCTCAGCCAACCACTCCCGAACTTTAACGATTACGGGGAGAAAACGGGTCCACATGGCTTCCATCAGAAATTGGTTATTTTGTCGTGCGCATGCGATCATCTCCGCAGCCTGTTCAGCATTCACAGTGAGAGGCTTTTCACATAGAACCGCCTTTCCCGCTTCCAAACACAGAATCGCGCACTCTTTGTGAAAAGGATGTGGCGTTGCCACGTAAATAACATCTACTTCGGGATCATGTGCAAGGTCGGCATAATTCCCGTGTCTGTGTGGGATACGAAACGTGTCCGCAAATGCGTTGGCTCTTTGGAGGTTCCGCGAGCCGACAGCGGTAATTTCTGCATCAGGGATCGCTTTCAATCCAGTGGCAAACTTCTGCGAAATAGTGCCGGGACCCAGTATGCCCCATCTTATCTTCTCTTGCATCCGGGGTTCCTTTGCGAAATTCAGAAAGAAGATTCTGACTCAATCTTGCTGGTGACAAAATTAATGACTTCCTCAGGGGAGTGTTTTCCGAATCGGACGTAAACACCGCGGAAGTTTTCAAGGCGTGTCGGATGAGCGAACGGGCTGAGCAGTACCCCGTTTGCGTCAACGTAAAAGCTGCGAAATGTATCCCAAGGTCGCTCCAGTCTATAGCAGCAACTTGTGATAACCAGTTTATCTGCTTCACATTGGTGGTGAAACGGGAGAAAGTATTTATAGAGCGACCCGAGTAGAAAAGTGGCGGACAGCAGGGCGATATAAATGGATTGGAAACCGTAATAGATGCCGATTAAAAGAAGGGTAAGAAAAAACCCTAATAGGATGGACTTGCGCCAATTTTCAACGAGTGAATGTACTGTCCATGAAAGCGTTGTAGGCGCGTCTGCCATATCGGGATTCTTCTTTATTAGCGGTCAGTTTTCCTTGCTGACGACTATCCTGCTGATGACCTTAACCATCAACTCGTCTACTGATACTTTTGCTAAAGCACGAGTTGATGGTTAAAACTGACAACCCTTACAAGCGAAAACGGTAGCCTGCAACAACGGCGCAGGCGGGTATTTGAAACACATGTAAGCGTTTTAACGCATGTGGTTCCCCCGCAAGGAATAATTAAAAAATCCGCAAGGTAAAATTAAAAACTATTCTGTGCTGTCTGTGCTACCGCTGTCGAGTTCTGTCTTTGATGTGTCGTCGGCAGCGTCTCCACTGTCGAGTCCTGTAGTCGTTTCAACGCTTCCGTCGTCTGTGGTGTCAACAGGTTCGATTGTGGTTTTCTGTGTTGTTTCCTGCTCGATCGGCGTGAGTGCCCCGCCGCCTTCTTCGCCATAGAAACGCATCAGAAACAGTGAAATAACCATGAACCCAATAGCAAGCCATGTCGTCAGTTTACTCAGGAAGGTCGCGGCACCGCGTCCTCCGAGAACAGACTGCATTTCCGCGCCACCAAATGCGCTGGATGAAAGCCCTTCACCCTTGCTGTCCTGTAACAAAATAATCAGCGTCAAGACGACGCAGACCGGCACGAAGAGAAATACTACGAAACCGATAATAATGTCCATCTGATCCTTTCCTCCTAATAGGTAGCTATCGGCTATCGGCTATCGGTAAAGAGCGGTTTGTAACAATCTTCCCCAACTTGAAGGACTCCAGGAAGTGGCGAATTGTTACAGATAACCTTTTAACCGACTGCTGATTGCTGACTGCTGACTGTCATTTTCACGATTTGTGCGAACGATTTCGCTTCAAGGCTTGCACCGCCAACGAGTGCACCGTCCACGTCAGGCTGCGACATGAGTTCTCGCTGCATTCTCCGGTTTAACGCTACCACCGTATTGAATGCATATCTGCGACGCGACTTCTGCCGAGTAACCCTTCGTTAGCAAGCCTCGAATGAAGTTATGGACCTCCTGTGCTTGGGCAGGCGTGGCGGTTTTTCCAGTGCCGATTGCCCAAACCGGTTCATAAGCGATGACGCAGGACGAAAGGTCAGTTGCGGATAAGCCGGCAATGCCGCCCGTAACGTGGCTCTTAATCACTGCTTCTGTTTGTCCGGCTTCCCGTTCTTCGAGTTGCTCACCGACACAGATGATTGGCTTTAAGCCGTGTGCTAACGCCGCTTTCACCTTTTGGTTGACGCTGTCATTCGTTTCACCGAAGTATTGTCGTCGCTCTGAATGCCCGATAATGACGTAATCACACCCGGCATCTTTCAGCATTGGCACAGAGACTTCACCGGTAAATGCCCCGCTATCCTTCCAATAGACATCTTGGGCGGCGAGACGAATGTTGCTGCCCGCTATGGCATCGCTAACCGCGGAAAGCGCAGTAAACGGCGGTGCAACGATAACTTCAACGCCGGTGTCGTCCGCAACCAATGCCTTTAACGCCGTTGTGAACGCGACCGCCTCTGAAATCGTTTTGTTCAGTTTCCAATTTCCTGCAATGATAGGTGTTCGCATATTCTTATATTTTTAACAATTAGGTTTCTGCTCTGATCTTTCCTTCGTCAAGATCGGGTTCCCGATGAATTTCAACGGCATTGCGGGCAATTAAACCACTATACAGTTAGTGCCTCTATAGGACTTAATCCTATTGATATACCCAATACCATTATTGACCTCGGAGAAAAATGATAGAAAGTTGATAGTTAAAAAACCTGGACAACGAGTTCGACGAGACGGTTGGAGTAGCCCCACTCGTTATCATACCATGAAAGGACTTTAATCAACCCATTATCAATCACTTTGGTGAACGGAGCGTCGAGAACGGAGGAGAGTTTGTTTCCATTGAAATCGGATGAAACGAGATCGAGTTCAGAGTAGCCAAGGATTCCATCCAAGCTGCCTTCTGCGGCTTCTTTCAGTGCTGTGTTGACCGTTTCGGCACTCGGTTTCTGCTTGAGATCGACGGTGAGATCCACAACGGAAACGTTCGGTGTCGGTACACGGATTGCGAATCCATCGAGTTTGCCGTTCAATTCTGGCAGGACTTTTCCAACTGCGACAGCGGCACCGGTCGTTGTCGGAATCATCGAGAGCGTTGCTGCACGGGCACGGCGCATGTCGGAATTTGGGAAGTCATGAACCCGCTGGTCGCCGGTGTAGGCGTGAACAGTCGTCATCAAACCGCTTTCAATTCCAAATGATTCATGTAAAACCTTTGCGACAGGGGCGAGGCAGTTCGTCGTACACGAGGCGTTAGAGATGACATGGTGTTCTGCTTTGTCGTATTTATCGTCATTGACACCGATCACAATCGTGATGTCTTCACCCTTCGCAGGGGCGGAGATGACCACTTTTTTCGCACCACCGGCGGTGATATGTTTTTCAGCATCTTCCCGATCTGTGAAGAAACCGGTGGATTCGATAACGACATCCACACCGAGTTCACCCCAAGGTAGGTTACCAGGGTCCCGTTCGGCGAGAACTCGTATCTCTTTCCCGTTTACCACCAATCCGTTGTCAGTGGCAGTGATGTCATCGGACAAGATGCCGTGGATAGAGTCGTACTGGAGAAGGTGTGCAAGTATCTTCGGGCTTGTCAAATCGTTGATAGCCACGAATTCTATGTCCAATGCGGAGTTCTGCAACGCCGCTCGAAAAGCGTTCCTACCAATCCGACCAAAACCATTAATACCTACTTTAGTTGACATAGGACAGATAAATTCCTTTGTAAATATTGTGCCGTTACAGGGCTTTCTTTTAACAGCAAGACTTAGAACCTACAAGCCACACGAATAGATTTTTTAACTATTGGGTTTCCGCTCCGATGGGTCTTACAGCCCAATCGGGTTTTTAACGAGTTTGAGCGGTATCTGTATCAATTAAGGCTTGAAAGAATTCCCTTTGATTTGCAGTTATCTAAATTCCACGATTTACGTCTTTTTAATTATACCCTAAAGTGACCTAAATTGCAAGCGCGTTGTTAAGCAGAGGCATTCAGTTTTCAGCAATCAACCGTCAGCGGTCACTCAGTAGCGGTTAGAGAGCATCGCAGGCACAATCGCGCCAACAGGAATTTACGCCCGGTGCGGTTACAAACCACACCTACCGGGGGTGGCACTAAAGTGACGTAAATTGCAAACGCGTTGTTAAGTCCATAGCCGTTCTGGAGCAATTTGACTTGACAATTCGGGTGGTTTGAGATACCCTATTGATATGTCAACAAACGCCCACACGAAAACGATTCAACCGACCGGAAGTTTCCGTGCCATCCCTGTTGCGGTGCCGGAGAATCTCGCTAACGTCCGAATTATCCTCTTTGAACCGCGTGAACCCGGAAACATCGGCTCTGTCGCCAGAGTCGTGAAGGGGATGGGACTCTCACAACTCTATCTGGTGAACCCAATTCCGTTTCGCGATGTCGATGCGGCATGGTATATGGCACACGGAGCGAAGGATATTCTTGAAAATTGCCACGTCGTTCCCGAACTGAAAGACGCGCTCGACGGCATCCAATATCTGGTAGGGACGACGCACCGTCGCCGCGATGTCCGCCTGCCGCAGCCTGTGCCTGCAAGGGAAGCCGCAGAGACGATCGCCACAATTTCGCAGGACAAACCGGTCGCACTGCTGTTTGGACGTGAAGACTTCGGCTTGTCCACCGATCAGATGAGCCTCTGCCAGTTGACTGCAAGCGTGCCGATGGCTACAAAGAACCCGTCTCTGAATTTGGCGCAAGCAGTCCAGATCTTTGTCTATGAAGTCTTCACTGCCAGCCTGAACGAATACCCTCCCACCGAGATTGATCATGCCGAAGTGAACGCCTTGGAAGAGTTTTACGGGCGTGTGACCCGTTTGCTGATAAGGTCGGTATGTCGCCATATAACCGGGAGTGGGAGACGTATCTGAAATCGTTGCGACGGGTCTTTTCTCGTGCTCCGCTGGAGGCACGCGACATCGCACACTGGACATGATTTTCTCTACGACGTTTCGATACATTGAGCGATTGGAGAAGAAGTTAGAAACTACAGAATAAGTTGGCTTGTGGTATAAGGTCCTAACTTTGGACAATGTGTAGGAGGGGTTTGTAACCCGGATGCCTTATAGAGGGAAAAATGAAGACATTTGGCACATACGGACCTGTGAATCCTGAAGAAAATTATGTTGTCTCACGCGCTGTGGAACTCGCTGATTTTATCAACCGCGTCAAACAGGGACGATATATCGTTATCTTCGCGCCCCGGCAGACAGGTAAAACCACGTTCTTCCAATGGGCTCTTGAAGCACTCACCGTCGATACCGCAGAGACCTACTTCCCCATTGAACTCAATTTTGAAGTGTATGAAAACTATTCCGCCCCGGATTTTTACAACTCCCTCTATCGAAGAATTGGTAGGGAAATTGCGCGCGTCTTTCAGAAACGCGGCATCGCCCCTTCTGAAGCCTTAAGACAACTCTTGGAGAACACAAAATTAACCGATCACGTTGCGATGATGGAATTCTTTGAACAACTTGGGGAGCTTCTCGGAGATGAGAAACTTATCCTCATTATTGACGAGTTTGATGGTATTCCCCGCGATGCTGTGAGTGGTTTTCTTCGTTCGCTCCGCAATATCTATGTTCATGGTTCTATGCGTAAATGTCCCTACAGCCTCGGTGTTGTAGGCGTTAAGAGCATCGCGCAACTCAATTTAGACCGCTCTATTTCGCCGTTCAACATCCAAGACGAGTTCACCTTGCCCAACTTCACCCTTGAACAGGTCCGCGCGCTCCTTGCACAGTATACGGACGAAGTCGGCCAAGCCTTCGCCCCTGAAGTCGTTGAGAGTATTCACAGACAGACTGCCGGACAGCCCTTCCTCGTCAATCGATTCGCGCAGATTCTTACTGAAGAGATGGACATTCCGAAAAAGCGAACCGATTACAATAGAACACTTCCCAAAGGCACACGCAGAAATTCTTGAAGAAAATAACACCAACCTTACACATTTGGTGACGAATATTCGTAGGGACCCGCGCTTTAAAAAACATCCTAATGGAAATCGTTTCTTACGAGAGAGGTGTCCGCTTCAATCTACGCCAAGCACTCATCAGTGAACTCACGACTTATGGTGTTATCGGGAAAGGACCTGATGGTATGTGTCAAATTCTCAACCCGATCTATCACTATTGCATCTTGCAGGCGTTTAAACCAGAGATCAATGGGTTGGAACGGGACTACTTGCCTGAAGATACCGATTTTCTCGACTACCTCATGCCCACCGGACAGATTAATATGGAATTGCTTCTTGACAATTTCCGAGATTTCATTGCACGCGTAGGATTTCGGATACTCCAAGTCCCAGACACACCAAAAGAGTTCGTCGGCCAAGACCTCCTTTATGCCTATTTCGACCAGTTTGTGAGTCTCATCCGCGGAGTAATGTACCTTGAAGTTCAAACCGGGCGTGGCAGGATGGACCTCGTTATCTTCCACAACGGGCAGAAATACATCGTCGAAACAAAAATTTGGGAAGGTCATCGTCGCTATCAAGCAGGCAAAGCACAACTCGCCGCGTATCTTAAATTGGAAAGAGCCGTAGCGGGATACTACGTCGTCTTCGATCATCGTGCCAAACCAGAACCACGTGTAGAAACAGAGACAATAGACGGTTTAACAACCCGTAGCTACGTCATTCCTGTCGTACAGGAAGCCCCCTCACAACAGATACAAGATTCCACTTGAAATTCTGGGGTGGACTGATGTATCATATATGTAGAAAACTTGAGTAGTCCCGTAATGACGAAAGTGTTTAAAGCGTAAACAAGAAATGCGATACATCAAACCCATTGTTTGGCTCATCTTTATCTTCTCCGGTGCCAGTAGTCTCATCTATGAAGTCATCTGGATGCGGCAGCTAACGCTCATCTTCGGGAGTACTGTCTTCGCAACGAGTACTGTTCTGACGGCGTTTATGGCAGGACTCGCACTCGGTAGCTACTACTTCGGTAGGAAGATTGACGAAAGCACACAGTCTCCGCTGCGACTCTACGCACTTCTGGAAGCCGGTATCGGTGCGTTCTGCCTTGTTTGGCCCCTCATTTTAGCGGCACTTGGCGCGATCTATGTATTGATTCATCGCAACGTCACCTCAGAATTCTATACCCTCTCGCTCATTCGGTTTGTGTTAACGTTCGGGGTTCTACTAATTCCCTCCACATTGATGGGCGGCACACTACCCGTATTAACCCGATTTTTTGTGAAAAGGCTGGAACAACTCGGCACGAACATCGGAATTCTGTATGCGTTGAACACTTTCGGTGCCGTTGTCGGAACTGTAGCAGCGGGATTTTTTCTGATTGAGGCGTTGGGCATCCGATGGACGCTCGGTATCGGTATCGCTATTAATTTCGGTGTGGCAGCGGTTGCGTTGGCATTGGCACAGAAGGTATCGGTAACAGAAGCAACAGAAGCAGATGAGCCCCGGCGAAGAGACACAACAAGCGGAATCTGAAGATGTTCCGTATCTACCTGAAAAGCGTTTGGTGCTATGGGCGATAGGTGTCTCTGGGTTCTGTGCTTTGGCGTATGAAGTGTTGTGGACCCGTATCATGGTCTTCTTCCTTGGGAGCACGACGTATGCGTTTGCGACGATGCTTGCCGCATTTCTGTTCGGCATCGCGCTGGGTAGCATGGTATTTTCGCGTTGGGTTGATCGAATTAAACAACCTATCGCGATTTTCGGCATCGTTCAACTCGGTATCGGGCTCTTCGCGCTTATCTTTGATGCCGGCGTTTGAGGAATTGTACGGGATGAGCAGTGCCCTCCAATCCACCTTCGGGGCAAGTAGATTCTGGACATTTTTCTCGTGCTTCCTTGTGATGTGCCTACCGACTTTTTTCATGGGTGCGAGTTTTCCACTTGTGACGAAAATCTATACCGGCAACACCCACCAGCTCGGCAGGAGCATCGGAAACGTCTATGCAGTCAACACGGCCGGAAGCATTTTGGGGGCGTTTTGTGCAGGGTTTATCCTGATTCCGCTTTTGGGCATCCGACCGAGTATCGTTTTGACGGTAGCCTTGAACACAGGCATCGGATGTTTCCTTGTTTTGAGAGGCTGGACGACTCACTGAGACAGGGCAATCGTTTTTACAAGGGATAGGCATCGGAATGCCGGTTCTCAACGCCGGGTTGGCTGTGATTCTCTTGCTTACGGTGAATCAACCGCTCTTCCTCAAGAGTGCTATTTTCAAAACGCAACGTCCGGGCGATACACTCGTTGATTACAATGAAGAGGTGGATGCCACGGTAACAACATTGAAAGATGATGAAGCGGGTCTATCGACTCTATGTGGATACAAACCAGGCGGCGGATGCCTCGCGTTGGGATTCACCGTCGCATCGCGTTATTGCACATCTACCGTTATTGTTGCACCCGCGTCCGAAACAAGCACTCGTCGTCGGGTTCGGCATGGGGCTAACCTCACATTCGATAACGCAACACGGTGTACGGGTTGACGCGGTAGAGTTGTCCAGTGGTGTAATTTCTGCTGCACAAAAGCATTTCACGCACGTCAACGAAAATGTGTTTGAGAATCCGCTGTTCAATTATAGACTCAACGATGGACGAAATCATATCCTGATGACGAAAACGAAATACGACATGATCTCGACCGGTATTATCCATCCGCTTGTGAGTGCGGGGAGTTCCAATATCTACACCGCCGACTTTTACCGTCTGTGTCGTCGGATTCTGAGTGAAGACGGGATCATGTGTCAGTGGGTGCCGTTGCATCGCTTACCGGAAGCGCATTATAAGATGATTGTGCGTACCTTCATTGAGGTGTTCCCACATACGACGCTCTGGTACAAATATACACCTGATTTTGTGATTCTCATCGGCACGCATGAGCCACTGCGAATTGATTATAAAAACTTCATGGCACGCGCACGGATTGCGAGTATCCGCGAAGGGACTTGCTGCCGATGACCTTGACGGTCCGTCGCTGCTCGATTCATTCATGATGGGACCTGAAGCTGTACGCAAATACGCCGGTGTTGGACCTATTCATACAGACAATCGCCCGAAATTAGAATTCTTCCGTGGGGCAGACTTGGTGGGAACGACAACGCAAAACGTTAAAGGGATGGCAGAATATCGGGAGCGGGTGCTACCGTATCTCACAAACTACGGCGCAACACTGGCAGAGAAGCGGGACATTCGAGAGAGACTCGACACCTACTTCAGAGCCACGCAAAAATTAATCCGTGGACAGATTGCTTATGCGAGTGGGCAGTACCAGAACGCTGCAGCACTCATGAGCGATGCTGTAGTACTCAACCCCGTTGACGAAACAATCCGCTATAATTTCGGGGTCGTTGCGGGTTTAATTCGCGAGGGTGAGCAGGAAGAGCTCCAACAGATTGAAAAGCAGGTCCAACAGACGATGGCACAGAACCCTGATGACACTCAGGGACACCTCCATTTGGCGACGTTGTATGAGATGCAGGGTGAACTTGGAAAGGCGACGAGGGAACTGGAGGAATTGCTCAGACGCGATCCTAAAAGGTTCGAAGTTTATCTGCTCTTGGGTCCCCTGTATGAACGCCAAGATCGTTACAAGGACGCACTTAGGACTTACGAACGGCTTGAGCAGCAGGAGACAACTATGCAACTGCCCGCCCCTATTTTTGCGGCAATGGCGCAGCTACATCTGCAATTGGAAAATGTGAAGGAAGCCGAAAGATACGGAAAGAAGGGTATCGCTGCAGATGTCAATTCGTGGCGTTCCCATTATATCCTTGGAAACGTTTACGCTACCATGAATCAGCCACAGAAACAGATAGAATATTACGGCAATGCCCTGAGAGCACTTGATGAAATCGTCCGTGTTTCCGCAGATTCGAGTGATCTATTGAGTGTCAGAGAACAGATCCAAAATGAACTTGAACAACTTAGAAAATAATATTTGTTTTTTTGAATTTCGTAGGACGAGCAAGCCCGAAACGAAGTGGAGGGCGACTCTACGGAAATAAACGTCAATGCACTAACCCGCTTGACCGAACCGCAAAGAGTTTCCTTTACGATACCCTCAAAAGGTGTAGCCCGTAATGTAATGGAGGGCGGGTCTACGGAAATCAACGTCAAGGTGCTAATCCACTTGACCGAACCGCAAGGAATAATTAAAATATGTCTCAAGAAACCCAAGAAGCCACATCGTCTTGTTTAAAACGAACCCATTATTGTGGGGACCTGCGCTTAACCGATGCGGGTACGACTGCGCAGATCAACGGTTGGGTCAAACGCCGTCGAGATCATGGTGGAGTCATCTTCGTTGATTTACGCGACAGGACAGGCATCACGCAGGTTGTCTTTGATCCACAGATTGACGAAAAGGCGCACGCGCTCGCAGATGCTGTCAGAAGTGAATATGTGTTGAACGTTAGTGGCACCGTCCGTGAACGCGATCCGGGCGAATTGCTCTTCCAAGCGGACGCGGCATACCAAACAGAACTCGCCGATGGTGTCCTTTCCCCAACGTTCCGCGCTCTATTTTCGGATGTCGATACGAAGTACACCCTCTCCGAAAAAATTGAGGTAGCGACCCGCGTCGCTGGCACGCGATGGCTGCTCACCGATGTTGAAATAATCGGACCTATCACATCGTCAGTGAAGATGTGGGGGGAGAAGATGGTCTCAGCATTTACCAAGGCACGGTCAATCCGGAACTTGACACGGGTGAGATCGAACTCGCTGTGGATTCTCTGAATATTCTGAATACTGCCAAAACGCCGCCGTTCCCTGTTGAAGACGATATCGAAGTTGCAGAAGATATCCGGATGCGTTATCGGTTTATTGATTTACGCCGTCCCGAGATGCAGAAGACTTTAGCGATGCGGCATAAAGCAGCACTTGCAGCACGCAATTATATGAACGAGCAGGGCTTCCTTGAGATTGAGACACCTATTTTGATGAACAGCACGCCTGAAGGGGCACGCGACGTACTTGTTCCAAGTCGTCATTATCCCGGTAGGTTCTATGCACTCCCACAGTCACCGCAGCAGTTTAAACAGATTTTGATGATGAGCGGTGTTGACAAATATTTCCAGATAGCACGATGCTTCCGAGATGAAGACACCCGTTCCGATAGACAGTTGGAATTTACGCAGCTTGATATTGAGATGTCATTCGCAGGAGTGGACGATGTGCTTGAGGTGACCGAGGGGTTGATGAAACGAATATTTGAGGAGGCGGGTGATATTCCCGTCCAAACGCCATTCCTACGGCTCCCCTATCACGAATCGATGGCACGGTTCGGGAACGACAAACCGGATACGCGGTTCGGTATGGAACTTACCGATCTCTCGGATGTCATGGCAGATTGTGATTTTCAGGTATTTACACGCACCTTGTCCGCAGGTGGACAGGTCAAAGCCATTGCAGCCCCAGGGGGTGCGAACTTTTCACGCAAAGACATCGACGACCTGACGCAATTCGTTGCTACCTACCGAGCGAAAGGACTGGCATGGGTTAAAGTCACGACAGAGGGATTTGCATCGGGTATCGTCAAGTTCTTCACAACAGAACAACTTGAAACAGCACAGGAGAGAACAGGCGCGAAACCTGGTGACATCATGTTCTTTGTCGCTGACAAGCCGAAGGTTGTCGCCGATGCTCTCGGTAATCTCCGCCTTCATCTTGGAAAAAAACTTAACCTCATTGATGAAACACAATACAACTTCTTGTGGATTGTTGACTATCCCCTGTTTGAGTGGAACGAGGATGAGAATCGTTACGAACCCTTCCACCATCTGTTCACCGGAGGGACAGAGGAGACTTTACCGTTATTAGATACGGATCCGGGGAAAGTTCAGAGCCAACACTACGATCTCGTGTGCAACGGATACGAGATCTGTAGCGGAAGTGTCAGAATCCACCAGTGGGATATCCAACAGAAGGTTTTTGAGGTTCTGGGCATCACGCCGGAAGAGGTCGAAAGCCGGTTTGGCTATTTCATAGACGCATTGGCGTATGGCACACCGCCGCATGCAGGCGTTGCTCCAGGTTTAGACCGGATTGTCATGCTGATGCGGAACGAAGAAAACATCCGCGAGGTCATCGCGTTCCCGAAATCGCAACAGGGACTCTGCCCGCTCACGCATGCGCCGTCTGTTGTAACGGATACGCAACTGGAAGAGTTGTCGATTCGCGTTGATGCGGAACTTTAGTTAGTATTTTCCCGACAAGCATACTTACAGGGCGAGGTTAGAAACCGCGCCAGTGGCGTGTCTGAAATTAATTAACCTTCAGAAAAAAAAAGAAACGGAGTCAAACTATGAATGAAAATGGAAATAAGCCGAAAGTCAGTCTTGGACTGCTTTACGGCATTGTCATTGCGATTGTTGCCGGCGCACTCATCGGTGGGTTCGCACCAGACTTTGCAGTCCACACAACAATACTCGGTGAAGTATTCTTAAACCTACTGAAGATGATAGTCGTCCCGCTCATCATCTTGTCCATGGTCGTGCGGGATAACAAACTTAGGCGACATCCGCAACATCGGTTCCATCGGCGGACGCACTGTCCTGTATTACATGGCGACAACTGCTATTTCCGTTCTCATTGGGATGATTCTCGTCAACCTCATCTCACCGGGAAAGGGACTATCACAAGGCGAAGAACGTGCCGATCTGAGTTACACACTCTCTGGTGCTGAGATGCTCACTGTTGAGACGGACGGAGAATTCAATCGGACATATAACAATAAATATGTCATCACCCTCGTTGACCAGAATGTGCGTGGCGAAGTAGAATCAATTTCTGGGACAACAGCCACGGTAAAGTCATGGCAACCGCTATCCGAAGATGCCCGTTACATCACAACAGACAGCGGCGAACGCCTGTTGTTCATCGACGGTCGTCTTGAGTCAATAGCACTCCAAGACACTGGTACCAGTATTAACATCGGCTTGCCGATTGCCACAAGAGTGTCCGGCAAAATGGAACGGACGATGGGCAGCACCATCAAGGAGGTATTCCTCGGCAACGCAGAGAGCGGCAAAGAGGGGATGATCCCTTCAAACGTCTTTAAGGCGATGGTGCGAACCGACATTCTGCCTTTAATCTTTTTCTCACTCCTCATCGGCGCCGCTTTGTCCATGCTTGGGGATTTCGGCAAACCCGTCATCGCTGTCATGTCCGGACTAAATGAGGCAGTGATGAAAATCGTCCACTGGATAATGTATGTCGCGCCGCTCGGAATCTTCGGTTTAGTCGCAGGCAGGATCGGCGAGGCAAAGGGATTCGCAGGCTTCTGGCCCGAACTCGTTGCCGTAGGTAAGTATAGCGCGACAGTCGTTTTAGGGCTTGGTGTGCACGGTATCATCGTTTTACCGGTACTTCTACTCGTCCTCGGACGCAGAAATCCGTTCAACTACTTCAAAGGCATGGCAACCGCCTTACTCAACGCTTTTTCGACAGCGAGTTCAAGCGCAACCCTGCCCCTAACGATGGAAGGTGTTGAGAATCAGAACGGCGTTTCCAGACGCACCTCAAGTTTCGTCCTACCCTTGGGAGCAACTATTAACATGGACGGTACCGCACTCTATGAGGCGGTGGCTGTCATGTTCATTGCACAAGTCTATGCGATTTCCATGGATCCAGCACAACAAATCGTTGTTGTGCTTACCGCGACCTTGGCAGCAATCGGTGCCGCAGGAATTCCAGAAGCGGGGCTCGTCACAATGGTTATCGTACTTAGAGCCGTGGATCTCCCAATTGAAGGTATAACGCTGATTCTCTCTATTGATTGGTTACTTGACCGGTTCCGTACCACAGTGAATGTCTGGGGTGACAGCATCGGCGCAGGCGTAATTGAAACGTATGAATCCAGAGATTCAGCCGATACCCCGGCAACGGCGTAAATAGCCATCAGCGGAATAGTTGTCAGTACGGAAATCTGCTACGCAGATTTCCTTTCGGTCGTCGGTTAAAGATGGGATATTGTCCAACCAAACCATCTCTTAACCGATAACCGATAACCGATAACTATTCCTCTGACTGCTGACGGCTTACTGCCGATAGCCAATACACCGAAAGCCATTCCCAATGAACACACAAAACGAACCAAACCCACAGCAGCCAGCACTCAGCGTCACATCAATTCTCGCAATTATCAGCGTTGTGCTCGCCGCGGGATGGATAGCCTTTGCCTATTACAAAGGCAGTGCCAGCAACCAGATACTCCTGTTACATCCAATAGTGCCGATACTGCTGATTGTCCTGCTTATCCGCGTTTACCGCTGGATCGACCTAAAGAGCATCGTCATTCTCGAAATACTGATGATAGCCGTGTGGATTTTTATACGTCTGTTGGGCGTGTTGACCCCTTTCATTTTAGGGTTTGGCTTCGCTTATATCTTTAGGTTCCTCTGGAATGCCCTTCCATTCAAAGCACGTTATCAACGCGGACTCGCAACTGTAATAATTGTCCTTGTGTGTGGTGGTCTGCTTTTCTATACCGGAAAACAGGTGAGTAAGCAAGCCAGCCAGATGGGAAGTGGGTTATTGAAGTTTTATTATGAGATTGTTCTGCCTTATGTCGTTGGTGAGACAGTTTGAGGCAGTCGCTATCAGTGTGAGTTCGCTTTCTACTGAGGCATGGTGTAGCAGGAGGAAACAATCAAACGACTCCAGCAGAAACATTCTACCTTGGTACGAACCACGGCAGTCTATGAGATTCAACAGGATGCAGGGGACGAAGCTTGACCGCATTGGTATCACGAACGGCGCACTTCTCGGTAAACCGATACAGGCTCTTGCAGCAGCGGGAAACGTTGTCTATGCTGGCACGCAGGGTGGATTGTATCGATATTATAAGGCACTCCCTGCTGATACTACTACGGCGATTGGCGGTGATGCCACAAACACCCAGAACGTCAAACCGAAGGTATGGCACAAGGTGCAAGGGACCCCTTTCGATACTATTTCCATTCAAGCTATCAACGTTCCAAATTGGAATAATACCCAGATTTATGTTGGAACACAAAAAGGACTTTACAGCAGTAAGGATTTAGGGGAAACATGGCGTGAGGTCGCCCCTCAAATTTACAGTGACAGGTCCATCGTCAGTATCGTTTCTGTTGTGGATACGAATGGTGATAAAGCAATTTATGTCGCCAGTACAGCGGTAATTGATGCGATGCCCTCAGAACGGACGGTCCCCACACCTAAGGTTACAACGGTGCATTGGTATCTGGAGGATTCCTCTCTTGAGTGGAATCCGCTTCCTTCTATAACGCATCCGGTTTATGCGCTGGCAAGTGGAGGTAAAACGTGGATTGTCCCGCAAGCCTCTATAGGCTTGCGCTTAGAAGACCCCTCGCGGGCATCTGATATTGAACTGTACGCTGGCACGCCCGATGGTCTCTATGAGTGGCATCGTCTTGGCACATGGCGGAAAACCGAAGGTACTGCTGCAGCCTCGTTGTTAACGTCAGCACCTTCCGGCGTGTACATCGGTAATGGAACTTCTATCCTGCATCGTGCCGTACCTACAGCGGGATGGCAGCCGTTTGCTACACGGAACGAAGGGATCAGTTACACCTATAGGGACGAGCCTATTGTCCGGCAGGTGAAAACATACTTGACCGAAAGAATACCAGCAATTGCCCAAACCGGTGGTGAGGCTGTCGGAGAAGCGTTTCAGTTCGCCGGTTCAATCGCTTTTGGATTTGGCGGGTTTTTAGCCACAGTATCGCTTGCGTTCATTGTGTTTGTCTATGCAAGCCAGTCGTTTGACAATTATTTCCGCAGTTTCATCGCGCTGGTCCCTGAACTTCATCGTGAAACTGTCAAACCTATCTACGCGAAATTGATAGGAACCTACAACAATTCCTAAAGGGATTAGTCACGGTCATTGCGATGGTATCGGTCATCTCTTGCATTGCGTACAGCATCATTGGTGTGCCATTTGCATTGGTTATCGGTGTACTCGCCGGAATCTGTAACGCTATACCGACTTTTGGACCTTTTATCGGTGGCGGTTTCGCCTATGTAGCGATGCTAATGGGGTTAGCAGCTGGGGATTTCGGTATAGTTGATTTCCTCGTTCGCAGCGCATTTGTGTTAGGTGCCATTCTTGGCATCCAGATGCTTGACAACTCGTTGATTTCACCCAAAATTATGAGCACTGCTGTTGATGTAGATCCGCTGCTCATTATGTTTGCTGTGATTGTTGGGGCAGCTGTACTCGGTTTTTGGGGAGTATTGCTTGCAATTCCTATTATTGTTGTGGTAAAATCGGTTATTGCCGTTTCTCAATCTGTGGTGACGGATGGACGCTTGGAAGTTACCTCAGCCAATGATGCTCTGGAGGAAGACTAATGGAAACTGGACGTCCCATTGTTGCGATTGTCGGCAGACCGAATGTCGGGAAATCCTCACTCTTCAACCGAATCGCTGGAAATAGCCGTCAGCAGAATAGCGGTCAGCGCTCAGCAGTCAGCCCAGACTCGCCCACGCCTACTGATACAAAACTTTTGAAGAGCGTGGGAGAGTCTGAGTCAAGAGAACCTCGTGGGAGTGAAAAACAAACGCAACCGCCACACACTGAAAGCCGAGAGTCGATGGAAACCGATAGCCAATACGCCGAACGCCGTCCCCCGCGTAAATACGCTGTCGTCCATGATACCCCGGGCGTGACGCGCGACAGAAACTATGCTGACGTGGAATGGGAAGACCGCTCTTTTACCATCGTTGATACCGGCGGTTTGGACATCGATCCGGGCGACCAACTTATTGATAATGTTCAATCGCAGGTGAATGCTGCCTTGGCTGAGGCAAGCCTTGTTCTCTTCGTCGTTGACGCTCGGACGGGCATTATGCCGCACGATATGGCTGTCGTTGATAAACTCAGAGCCTCTGATAAACCTATTTTCCTTGTGGTCAATAAGGTAGATAACGACCGGTTTCGCAATGAAGCCGCCGAGTTTTACGCACTCGGATTGGCAGAGCCACTGTGGACATCCTGTGTCCAAAACGACGGCATTCGGGAGCTGCTCGACCGTGTCGTTGAAACCCTTCCAGAGACCGATGAAACAGCCCACGACGCGCCTGCCACGGTGAAAATCGCCATCGTTGGCAGACCGAATGTCGGGAAATCCTCGCTTATCAACAGTCTGTTGGGTGAAGAACGGCTGATTGTCGATGAGCGACCCGGGACCACGCGCGATGCGGTGAACATCCGAATCGTTCACGACAATATCCCTTTTGAAGTCGTTGATACGGCGGGAATGCGGCGTAAATCCGCTATCAACGATGAGCTTGAATCCGCAACCGTGCAACGTGCGATACACAGCATTCGCCAAAGCGACATCGCTGTACTCGTGCTGGATGCAACCCAGGATGTCGCACAACAGGATAAGGCTATCGCCCATTTCATTCAACGACAGGGGAAAGCTTCCGTTTTAGTCATAAATAAGTGGGATCTGATCGACAAGGATAACACAACGCATCCGACGTTTATGCATGCAATAGATGCGCAACTTCCGCAACTCGGTTATGTCCCACGTGTTTTTGCTTCCGCGCTAAGTGGACAACGCGTTACCCAAATATTAACAACTGCTCTTGAGGTTTACCGTGAATATTGTACGCACATCCCTACACCGGCACTCAACGAGTTGCTCACGGAATTGCGCAATGCACATCCACCGCCACGTGTTAAGAGTGCACGTCCTGCCCTCAAATATATCACACAGGTGGAGACCAAACCGCCAACCTTCCTGATCTTCGGACGGAATGTACATCGTGTGCAGCAGCCGTATGAGTCGTATCTTGTCAACAGTATTCGGAAGGAATTCGGATTTCACGGCACACCGATACGGATTTTTTACCGCAGGTCATAAATAGCAGCCAGTCATCAGCAGTCAGAACAATAGCCGGCTTCGCAGTGAGAACGGTCAGCAATCAGCAAGAAAACCTCTTTGCTGACGGCTGACGGTTTCCGATAGCCGATGGCTAATATAAGGAGGAATGCTTTGTCACGCTTTAAAGTTTTTATTACGCGTCCTATCCCAGAAGAAATCCGTGCGAAGATAGCAGAAGAATGCGAGGTCGATATGTGGCACACGAGTGCCATTTTACCGCCTATCGCTGAAAAGATTCCGCCACTTGATGGGTTAATGACGTATGGACATGAACCCGTCTCTCCAGAAATGATTGCTACATCACCGAATCTCAAAGCTATCTCTGTCGTCGGGGTCGGTTATGACCACGTTCATGTTGAGACGTGTAGAGAACGAGGGATCGCGGTTGGGCATACACCGGGAATTCTCAGTGATACCACTGCTGATATGACTATGGCACTCCTGCTCGCTACCGCTCGAAATATTGTCCCTGCCTATAACCATGTCCAAGTTTCCAAACAGTGGAAATACTACGACCCAAACATCCTTTGGGGGACCGATGTGCATCATGCGACTTTAGGCATTGTAGGCATGGGACGAATTGGGCATGCAGTTGCCAAACGCGCAAGAGCCTTTGACATGCGCGTCCTCTATTACAAACGTGAACGCCGACCCGACTGGGAAGAGGAACTCGGCGTAGAATACGTAACATTTGAAAATCTATTAGAAGTCTCCGATTTCGTGACGCTCCACGTCCCGTTGACAGAGGAAACAACGCACCTTATCGGCGAAGCAGAACTTGCTCTGATGAAAAAGACAGCCATTTTAGTCAATATCGCGAGAGGTCCCGTCGTTGACCACTACGCTTTATATGACGCACTCAAGCAAGGGCAGATTGCAGGTGCCGCTGTTGATGTAACCGAGCCGGAACCGATTAATACCGACCACCCACTCCTCAGTTTGGACAATGTTATCGTTGCCCCGCATCTTGGTAGTGCTACTGTTCAAACGCGGATGAAAATGGCGACAATGGCGATGGAGAATTTGCTTGCGGGTTTAAAGGGAGAGCAATTGCCTTATGGTGTGCTTCAACCAAACTTTCCCCGGTAGGAGGGATCTCCGAATCCCGACACCACTTGCATATACTCAATTAACTGATACCAGGAAGGAAAATGCTACTTGAAAAGCTATTCGCGTTAAAAGAAAACGGCACTTCATTGAGACGCGAATTCGTTGCGGGTCTCACGAATTTTATGACGATCTCATATATAATCTTCGTGCAACCTTCAATGCTTTCGTTGTCTGGTATGGATTATGGTGCCGTTATGGTTGCGACCTGTCTATCCAGTGCACTCGCGACGTTCTTCATGGCATATTTTACGAATTATCCTGTTGTATTGGCTCCGGGTATGGGTCTTAACGCCTATTTCGTTTTTGATCTTTGCTTAGGTTCAGGCGTGCCTTGGCAAGAGGCATTAGGTATTGTTTTCATAGCAGGCATGCTGTTTTTTATACTCTCATTTGTGGGGATACGTGAAGCCATCATGAATGCTCTCCCACACTCGCTCCAGAATGCGATTGCTATCGGGATTGGACTGTTTATTGCTTTCATTGGACTGCAGATGAGTGGAATCATTACAAAAGATCCCGCCACATTTATAACCCGCGGTAACTTCGACTCCAGGCCCGTACTCCTTTCAATCTTCGGTATTGCTGTAACGCTTACACTCATGGCACGTAAGGTGCGAGGGGCTATTCTGATCGGTATCCTTGTTTCAACTGCTGCCAACCTCATTTTCGGGATTGCCTCGTATGATGGAATCGTCGCGTCGCCGCCGTCTATCATGCCAACGCTCTTTAAACTACAGTTTCCCAATATACTTGCCAGACTGGAACTCATTCCCGTCATCTTTGTGTTTTTTGCCATTGATATGTTTGATAGCATTGGGACGCTCACGGCTATCGGCTATCGGGCGGAACTCCTCGAAGAGGGAAAGCTCACAAAAGCCCGAGGGGCACTTTTGACGGATGCAGGGAGTACCGTTGGCGGTGCCTTACTCGGCACCTCGACTGTGACATGTTTTATTGAAAGCGCAACGGGCATCACCGAAGGCGGACGGACAGGTCTCACCGCTGTCTTTACAGGGATTTTCATGTTGCTGTCCGTCTTTTTATATCCGCTCGTTAAGATCGTTGGGGGTGGATTTCAGATCAGCCAATCTGCTTTCCTTTATCCGATTATCGCGCCAGCACTCATCGTTGTCGGTGGGTTGATGCTCAGGAATGTCAGTCAGATTGATTGGGAAGACATCACGGAATCGATCCCTGCGTTCCTTACGATGCTGATGATGCCACTCTCCTTCAGCATTACAGACGGCATCGGCTTCGGATTTATCTCGTTTGCGTTTCTGAAGTTGGTGACGGGTCGTAGAAAAGAAGTGCATCCTATTATATACTACTTCGCCCTCTTCTTCATCGCCTGCTACATCGGTCATCTGTAGGCACTATTTGCAATCATTATCCTCCGCTGGCGGGGTTACAAACCCCACCTTTGACTGGTAGGTGCGGTTTCCCAACCGCACCGGATCGTCAAAAATAGGCGTGAAATCCGATAACTTTTTAAAACTGAATGACCCTCCCCTGACATCCGAAAAATCTTGAACTCTGCCGGTACATCCTGTATAATTGGCAGAAACCTGATACCCACACACGGAGGTTTCAAATGAAAATGCCCAAGCTTGTCGTTGGATACCTTATGGATGATGAAATGTTCGTCAAATCTTTTACGATCCCAGAATCTCACGATTGGATCAAGTGGTTAGCGAACGAGGAACTTGCTCAGTTTTTTGGGGAATTATTCAAATTGACGATCCAAATTTCAGAGGAAAAGGAAGATAGCGAAACGCTTCGGACTTTTCTCGACTTTTGGCATGAAATCGCCTTAAGTTGGCGCGAAATGGCCTTAGGCGAGGAAGACCCCGAGATATTTGAAGAAGATAGCCAGACCCCTCCGACCGTCGTCACCGATTGGAGCGTAGATGCTTTAGAAGCTGCCTTAAAAGGGGGAGATCCCGATACCCTTTTTACCACTATCGGCAGTTTGATCGGAAAAGCCATGATCAGTTCCGAACGGGATGTCCTGGCAGATATTTTGGAGGCAGAACAGGAATTGGATGCCCCCTGGATAGATATTGTTGAGGTGCAACCGGAGCAAAGACCAACGACTCACAAGCCTTACGCTGAACCGGAGCCTGTGGCTGATGTGACGAAACAGCAACGGGACAACGCCTTAGCCCAACCTATCTCTGAACTTATACTCTCTACCCGAGCCTACAACTGTCTTAAAAATGAAAATATCAAAACCGTCCGAGAACTCGTCAGAAAAATGGAATGGGAACTGCTGGAATACCAGAATTTCGGAGAGAGATCGCTCCTCGAAGTCCAAAACCGACTCGCTGTCAGAGGTCTCTACCTGGGAATGGATATGGATGACGAGGACATCTACTCGGAAGACACGGAATAAGTTTCTTAGGACTTACGCATGCTACTCTTTCGTAGCATAGACTGTTAGTCTGTGCTTTGTGGAAGGGTGTTTCCCCACGGTCAAAACTGCGTCCGTCCTGACAGAGTCTCTCTTTAACCGACACCTATCAAAGGAATCGTTTTAAATGCCCCGCATTTTCGATAACATCGACCAGCCCCTGCTTCCTGCACTCCAGCAAACCCTCGAAACCGCCACGCATGCCGACTTTTGTGTCGGCTATTTCAACCTTCGCGGGTGGAGAGGTCTCGGATCTTATATTGAGAATTGGAGAGGCGGGGAAGGCGAATGCTGTCGCTTGCTTGTCGGGATGCAACGCTTGCCCGAAGAAGAACTCCGGGAAGCCAAACGACTTGCTAAACAGGACAGTCGGATCGACAACCAAACGGCACTTCGTCTCAAACGTAGGTTGGCAGAAGAGTTCCGAGAACAGTTAACTGTCGGTGTACCAACCCGTGAAGATGAAAGAGGGTTACGCCAATTAGCAAGACAGATTCGTGCCGAGAAGGTAAAGGTAAAACTCTTTCTCCGACACACCCTTCATGCGAAACTCTATCTGATTTACCGATCAGACTTGGTCGCACCGACCGTGGGTTACCTCGGCAGTAGCAACCTCACCCTCGCTGGGCTTTCAAAACAGGGTGAACTCAACGTTGATGTTGTTGACGCGGATTCTTGTGATAAGTTAGAGAACTGGTTTGAAGACCGGTGGAATGACCGGTGGTGTATTGACATTTCTGACGAACTCGTTGAAATTATTGAGCAGAGTTGGGCGCGTGAGGAACTCATTCCGCCGTATCACATCTACGTCAAGATGGCATATCACCTGTCGCAGGAAGCACGCGCCGGGTTGACTGAATTTCAGATTCCACGCGAATTTAAGGACAAACTGTTTGAATTCCAAACCGCTGCCGTGAAAATCGCAGCGCACCATCTCAACAGACGCGGCGGTGTGCTGATAGGGGATGTCGTCGGACTCGGCAAAACGCTCATGGGAACGGCACTCGCTCGCATACAAGAAGACGATTATGACGTTGAAACACTAATTATCTGCCCCAAGAATCTCGTCAATATGTGGGAGAACTATCGAGAGGAATATCGCCTACGAGGAAGGGTGCTTTCAATTAGCCGAGTACTCAACGAATTGCCCGACCTCCGACGCTACCGACTCGTCATGATTGACGAAAGCCATAACCTCAGAAACCGTGAAGGCAAACGCTACCGCGCCATTCAGGACTACATTCAACAAAATGAGAGCAAGGTCATCCTCCTCTCTGCAACCCCTTACAACAAAACCTATCTCGATCTCTCTAATCAGCTCCGTCTGTTTGTTGACGAAACCGAAGACCTCGGCATTCGACCGGAGCAATACATCAAGGCGTTAGGCGGTGAAACCGAGTTTATTCGCAAGCATCAAAGTGGGGTCCGCACGCTTTCAGCCTTTGAACACAGCGAGTATATTGACGATTGGCGTGAGTTGATGCGCCGGTATCTTGTTCGCCGCACGCGCAGTTTCATCACGGAAAACTATGCCGAAACAGATCCCGAGACAAAACGGAAATTTCTCTCCTTTCCCGACGGCACGCGCTCCTACTTCCCCACACGCGTTCCAAAAACGGTGCAGTTTGAAATCGACGATCAAAATCCGGATGACACCTACGCGCAGTTATACTCTCGTTCCGTTGTAAACATCATCAGCAGTCTCAAGTTGGCTCGATATGGACTTGCGAATTACATCGTTGATACACCGTCAGAACCGCCGATGGAAGCGGAGCAGCAGCAGTTGCAAGACCTCTCCCGTGGTGGACAGCGGTTGATGGGATTTTGCCGGACGGGTCTTTTCAAACGACTTGAGAGTAGCGGACAAGCGTTTATCCAATCTGTTGATCGGCACATTCTGCGAAACTATATCTTCCTTCACGCCATTGAAAACGACGAACCGCTACCAATCGGGTCGCAGAACGCTGAGATGCTCGATTCTCGGTTTGAAGACAGAGATACCGATGATGCTGCCCTTATCTTAGATGCTTCTGGTGATGACGATGACATGCAGATTGATAGTACCAATTCACAAGCCGGTTCATACACAGCCGATGCGTATAAACGACGTGCCGCCGAAATCTACGGGATCTACACAACGAAGTATAAGAGTCGGTTTAAGTGGATACGTCCAAACCTATTCCATCCCATGCTTCGGAAGGAACTTACCGAGGACGCGCTCGCGCTCACCGAGATATTGCAACAATACGGCACATGGAACCCCGAAAAAGACGCAAAACTCAGTGCTCTTCAAGAGCTCTTAACCCAGACACATCCAAACGATAAGGTCCTGGTTTTCACACAATTTGCGGATACAGTGCAGTATCTGACAGATGCACTCTCAGAACGCGAAATGACACACATTGCCGCTGCAACCGGCAACTCGGCAGATCCTACCGCTTTAGCACACCGCTTTAGTCCTGTCAGCAATGATAGACGAGATAGAATTCAGCCCGAAGACGAGTTACGGGTGCTCATTAGCACGGATGTTTTGAGTGAAGGTCAGAATTTACAGGATTGTTCAATTGTCGTCAATTATGATCTCCCCTGGGCAATTATACGGTTGGTGCAACGCGCTGGCAGGGTTGACCGAATTGGTCAGATGGCGGAAGACATTTTATGCTATTCGTTTCTACCCGCCGAAGGCGTGGAGCGCATCATCAACTTGCGTGGACGCGTTCGGACACGCCTCCAGCAGAATAGGGAGGTTGTCGGCACGGACGAAGCCTTCTTTGAAGATGACGGTGAGGAGGGCAACGAAGCAATCGTTAACCTCTATAATGAGCAAGCAGGTTTACTTGACGATGAACGCGATAACGATGTTGACCTCGCCTCTCATGCGTATCAGATTTGGAAAAATGCCATTACGCAAGATGCGAGTTTAGAAAAGATTGTCCCTGAACTCCCATCTGTTGTCTACTCAACCCAAACACATGTACCAACCGATAACGAACCAGAAGGTGCATTGGTGTATATCCGAACGGGGCAAGGCTTTTCACAAGAGATGGGGGACGCACTGGCATGGATAGATCGAGACGGACAGAGCGTAACCGAATCCCAGTTTGCCATTCTTCAAGCCGCGGCGTGCAAACCCGACACCGAAGCACTCCCACCGCTTAGAGAACATCATCGCCTCGTGGAAGAAGCCGCGAAGTTGATCGTCTCTGAGGAACGGACAGTTGGTGGGCAGCTCGGGCGACCGTCGGAGGCACGTTTCCGCACGTATGAACGCCTCACACAGCATGCCAAGGACATGGAAGGCACACTCTTCAACACGCGGGAGCTCAAACAGGTTATTGAAGCCATCTATCGGTACCCACTCCGTCAAAACAGCAATCGACACCCTCAACCGCCAACTCCGAAGCAGCATTTCCAACGAAGATCTCGCAACATTGGTGATTGATTTATGGGAAACCGATCGACTCTGTATCGTTGAAGAAGAACGACAGACGCGAGACCCACAGATTGTTTGTTCATTAGGACTTCGCACAAACGGTGCCTGAACGGATCCACTGCAACACGTATAGGAGGAGTTTGTACCCCAACACGGGTGTGTAAAGTTTTCGAGGTACCATTATGACAAGTGCTGCCCTGTAGCATAAACTGTTAGTTTGTGCCTCGTAGGTGCCCAAGCCGAAGAGAATCCTATTTCTGAAAACTCGGTGCCGAAATATTTACACACTCCTCCGACACCCGAAAAATCTTGAACTTCCTCAATACATCATGTATAATTTACAGAAACCTAATACCCACACACGGAGGCTCCAGATGAAACATCCCAAACTCGTCGTTGGATACCTTATGAACGACGAATTGTTCGTCAAATCTGTCCCGCTTTCAAAGTCCCACGATTGGCTCAAATGGTTAGAGGTCGAAGAACTTACTGAGTTTTTTGGGGAATTACTCAAACTGGTAACACAAATTTCAGAGGAAAAGGAAAATAGCGAGACGCTTAAGGTTTTTCTTGACCTTTGGCGCGAAGAAGCCTTAGCAAAGGAAAATAACGCGCCGTTTTGGGAATCTCTCCGAGATTCGCTCGAAGCAACCTTAGAAGGGGAAAATGACGCGCCGTTTTGGGAATCTCTCCGAGATTCGCTCGAAGCAACCTTTAAACAGAGAGACTTGGTAGATATTGCTGAGGCAGAACAGGAATTGGATGCCCCCTGGATAGATATTATTGAGGTACAACAGGAACAAGACTCAACTCCTCACAAGACCTACACCGAACCGGTGCATGTGATTGACGTGACGGAACGGCAACGGGACCACTACTTAGCCTCCCCCATCTTCGGACTTCCATTCTCTCCCCGAATCCACACATGTCTCGAAAGAGAAAATGTCGAAACCGTCCGAGACCTCGTCACAAAAACGGAAGAAGAACTGTTGGAATACAAGAATTTCGGAATGGCATCGTTACATGAAGTCAAAGAACGCCTCGCCTACATGGGTCTATCCCTCGGAATGGACCTGGACGACGAGGACTACGACGAAGAAGATAGAGTGTAAGCCATCTTGTAACCTCATTTAACAGACGAGGCACTCGCAGAAGTTGCTGATGTACTTTTCACTGAATATGAGGAAGGGAAAACGCTAATGCTTAACGTCCGAGAAACACGCCAATACCTCAAAGAATCCGAATTTGAAGACCTCTTTATTGAAGAACTCGGTTGGGATCGTCACACTCAAACCCTCAACACCACAGTGGACGAAACTGAATATACAATCACCGCAATTGCCGAAAAACGCGGCATGGTTATTTTTCACTGCTCAGCAACAGATGAAGGACATATCCCTGAACGTAAAACGCGGGAAAAGATCCAACGGCAGGTCGCAAAATCCTCTCATGCGAACTTGATCGTCTACACCGACGCTGAGAAAACGACACAAATCTGGCAATGGGCAGGCCGAGAGCATGGAAGACCTATTACACGGCGTGAGTCCCG